TCCATTTTCATAACCCCACCCCTTACCCCAGCCAATTGGAAGCGGGACCTCACGGCATCTCGTGGGTTGTTAAAGGCCTGATTGCGAATTATGGGCAAGTTTTTCAGAAAAAACTGAAAAGTCTGAAAACTCTCTGGCGGAAAGCTCCCAAAGGCACAAAGGAATCGAAACGAAGAAAGGGGCTGGGGGGCTATGGTTTGCATGTCTCGGGGGCGTGGCCGCATCACAAAACTTTATATGATCGCATTTTATGCTAATTTACGAGTATTTTTCTCTTTTCAATTAATTTCTTCCCAAGGGAGTGGCGCACCGCTGATTCCATTATAATATGCATATAACATATGATATATTTGGTCGGGGGATCCATTTCTATGCAGGCAGCGTTTTTATTTGTATTTTTCCAATTTGCAAACCATGAAGGGATTTGCTAATTGATAATTCAAATAAGTGCGTGATTTGTAATCAAAATGTAAACAAATACCAAGTAAATAAGCAGGAATTTACAAGTAAATAGGAAAAATCATTTTTGAATAATCCATGATTTATTTTATAAGATTCTCAATGACTAGGGTTTATTTTTTCTTGCCTACAGTTGTAAAATGCAAGTAATGTTAATAATGACAATTTTTTTTAAACATCAATTAATTAATATGATTATGTTGGGACTTGGAATTTATATTTCGCTAGTCATCTTAACTTAATTAAATATATTTTAATAAATTAAAATGTGATATAAATAAATACGCTATAGTTGACTTAGGGTCACTTTCAATTAGGCAAATGAATGAATGGATAAATCAATCAATGAATGCTTCAGTGAATGAATGAACTCGTTGTTCACAATAAACGGAAATGCTAATGAATGAGACAGACAGGTGAATTTCCAACCCTCTGACCTTCAAGCCAGCGTGCGAATAAGCTAGTCATGTATAATTTGATCTTAATTTTAAGAGAACACATGAAATGAAATGCCTTTTCTCTCTGTGTAGATCCAAAAGTTTGTTTAATTTCTGCACTCGACTTGGGTTTTATTTTCGGCTCTTAAGCAAATATTGGCTCGGCCTGGAAAAATGTTTATGCGAACTCCGGGGTCTATATAAACATACAGATATATATATTTTGAAAGTAGATATCTGTATCTGAATGTCTTTCTTTTTCTTTTTTTTCTGTAAGGAGACTTTTGCTTTTGCTGTGTCTAAAATTTCTAGTAGGCAAATAAATCGCATTTGCGAGAGGGGGAAGGTGGTGGATATGGGAGATATATATCTTGTCATGCTTCAGCGCGTTGTTGGCGCTTCAAACTAGAAAAAAAAACAACCTGCGAACCATTGTTGTTGTTGCTGTCGCATTTATTACAGGTGTGTCTCACCATCCATCTCTTTTACTCCCACGGCACTCGCAGGCTGCTCAGGTGCATAATCAAAGCGAATTTGTGTGCGAAATGAGTTCAAGCTGCCGTCTTTTTGCTGCTGTTGCAACTGTCCGCTGTCAGTTGATTTATCTACATATTAATGCATTATAAGTATATATGTATATTGTCGGAAAAACAAGAGAGAACTCTGTAGTCGACTATTAGATACCCGTTACCCAGCAAACCAATATTGAAACACGAATTAACGCGATGGCGCCGCCTAGCGGCAGTCAGTAGTACCACCAGCCATCTAGCGGAAGGAATCGGAACCATAAGGGATTTTTAGATTGGATTCTAGCTTTTATAGTTTCCGAGATCTTAGCGTTCATACGGACAGACGGACGGACATACGGACAGAATGTATATACTTTAGAAGGTTGGAAACGCTCCATACTTACATCCTCTCTCACGAACACAATATACCCTTTTAATCTACGACTAACGGGTATAAAAATAGGAAAAATGCCTGCGCACGAACAGAGAGGTGGCGCGTATGTAAAGGGGAAATCAAATGGTAGCCGTGCAAACCGGAAAATTGCCTGGGAAAGGCCTTTGCCAGCCAAGACTGACTCTCAGAACCGAAAAAAACGAGTTTGTGAAATAATTGTAAGCCCAAATGAAAAATGGGTTTACATTTCTGGTGAATGTGCAAAGTGGAAAAATGTTTATATAGTCAAAATATAAACTCAACCCTTAGTTAGCACTTTTCATAAATTTATATGTCATGGCTTCGATTTCTACTTGTTTATTATTAATTTGATAAGTGTCTTTGTTTATTATTGATTGATTGTGAACTTATTTTGTTGATTTGGGTTTTGTTTTTTGATTATTTGTTTATTTTTTTGATAAACCCTGATTTGCTGTAGAATTTACGATACAAATTCCCTTTTGTAGAGGAAGAAGCACCATTCACTTTTTTTTATGGCGCCTTCCGAGAAATACTCATGATTTCCAATGTCGTAGACATTGAGTTGGTGTTTTTTTTTTTTTAGTTCTGAGTGTGCCAGAGATAGCATTTCCGTGTGTCTTCGATAAGGCAGCCAATTCGCAATGCATTTTGATAGCGTTTTTGATAGAAGTAGCTCTTGCATCACCGATAAGAACAAAGAATAAACCAAGAACAATAGCAATAATAATAACAATGACTAAGCGTTGAATCACAATTAATACTTACCTATAAAATATCATATAGCGGTGAAATGTTCCTCAAATTACAATTAAACGGCAGTGACAAAGAAAAGCCAACGAAAAGCGAACAGTAAAACGATTAAAAAGTGAAGATATAAAAATAAATATATAAAACCAATAAGCAAATACCAAAGATCGGATTTGGATCGACATGTTCGACGTACCGCCAAAATGTCCGGCGCTGGCCAACAAGTTGGGCGGTCTCTTTGGATGGCGACACACCTACAAGGTGGCCGCCAAGCACGAGGGGATTCCCCACGGGCAGCTCCACAAGTCCTACTCCCTCACGCTGCCCAAGCGACCGCCATCGCCCTCGGCCTACTCGTGTGTGAAGGTAAAGATATAAGGATATCCTAAATATAAAGATATAGGAAATCTAAAATGGACAAGTTTAAGGATGGAAAAAGGAAATTTACTGCAAAAAACCCTTAAAACAATGGGAATACCATCAAAGATAATCAGTTTCTACACGAAATGATATAATATAATATAATTTGATATAATAGATATAATTCATAAAATGTTTAAACAATTATTTTTGATTAAGTAAAAAGTATTCCAATAATTTTATTAACAATTTTGATAATATATTTTTCTACGTGCCTATCTATACACACGACAAATACGATCACAATCTCTTTTTGGCATTCCTACAGTTCGATACGTCACTTGTTAGCCCCGCGGCCACGCCCACATTGCATTTTCAATGTTTTTATGATATATTGATATATGAGAACGAGATGAGATCGTGTTGTCTGCTGGTTGGCGCATAATTTCCATTGACAAATGACCATAAAATCAACGAGGCACAGTGGGTTGAAATAAGCAGAAAAGTAAAAATACTAAAAACTAACTTTTTTTGTTTCTGAAAAAAGTTTTTTTTTTAATTCCTGAAAAAGTTTTTTTTTCTTGCTGGAAAAAATATGATAAAATAATATGATAAAGTTCCGAACCACTGTGCCCCAACTGCATTCTTAACGTTCCGTTCACCGCGGCAAATCGCGATTTGGAATCCCAAAAATCGGTGCTGCATCCGCCAGTTAGAATACCTGAATGCGCGCGCTCTTTGACCCACAAACAAAAAAAAATCGAACAAAAACCATGTGGGGAAACAAACCAAAAACAAAAACAAAAGCAAAGGCGAACCGAGAAGAGAAGTAAAGAAAAAGAGGCGAAAAATAGCCGAAATTATTGCGCCAAGTTGACGTTCGGTTCGACGTTCCAGTTCTGCAGCTCCTCGTCTCAGTCGCTGAGCCTCCTCCAACGCTTTTGACTGGTTTTCCAGCCATGATGCAATTGTTTTGTTTCTTATACACATGGAGAAAAATATTTAATAAATTATAAGATATGATGTATAATTTACATAAATTATGAATTAATTTATATTAAATTAATGACTCAGTAACAATTTATTAAAATCATAAAATTAGTATGAATCTTAGCGAGAAATAATAAAGCAATACAGCTTGAAAAAATATCGACAGTTTGCTATATCTCGATAGTTTTTGTCAAAATATCGAAAATATCGATAGCATATTATATTTTGAATTATTTGATATTTCTTCACTCTGATGTCTAAATTAAACACCCAATCTTTAATGGGATTTTCTGCGAGTGCTGTTGTTGTTGCTGTTGGCCGGCATTTGGCATTTGTTGTGGAATCCGAAGCCGAATTCGAATCCATCGGAATGCCAAAAGCTACACCGCCAGCTCCTTTCCTCAGTTCAGTTCAGCTCAGCTCAGCTCGACTAGATGATTGCAATTTGGGGCGCTGGAGGTCGTCGTGGTCTCGCTTATTAGGCGTCGCTCAGGGAGTTCAAGTTGAGCCCACGTGAGCCGAGATTTGGATGGAATCAAATCTGGATGGAGTGATGGAGTGACTCAACACGTATTATGGTTGCTCCATGCGGAAGCACAGATGTGCAGATGGTGCAAATGGGATGTGAGAAGCGAGTTCCCGAGACGATGCGTCTCCATTGCCTCTTTTAGATTGCAGTTTGCAGTTTGCAGATTGCAGACTCGAGTTTCGAGATTTTGGGGGAGGGCATGGATGTTGGGAAAGACTTCCGCGACTTCCATGGCCCCCAGTCTAATGGGAATAGCAGATGCAAGAGATGCACGTCTGATTTTTTCGCTACTCTTTTTCTTCTTTTTCTTGAGAGTACAGTAAATGCTCTAAGCAGTGAACTTGCAAAAATAGATGGTGTTCTTTCATGTTAGTAAAAAAATAAGAAAAAAAACTAAGAAAAAAAAAAGAAAAAAAAAGAAAAAAAAAAAAAAAAAAAAAAAAAAAAAAAAAAAAAAAAGAAAAAAATAAAAAAATAAAAAAAGAAAATAACAAATTCGAACAACAAAACTAATCGTAAATTTGTCCGTTTTTTTTTTTTTTTCTCATTTCCAGCCCGATTCCTGGGTGACCGTGACCCATCTGCAGACACAGTCGGGCATCCTCGATCCGGATGACTGTGTGCGCGACGTGGCCGACGACCGGGAGCAGATACTGGCCCACTTCGAGGACCCGGGACCGGATCCGGGCGTCCCGCAGGGCGGCGGCGACGGTGCGTCGGGCAGTTCGTCCGTGGGCACCGGCTCGCCGGACATTTTCCGCGATCCGACCAACACGGAGGCGCCCACCTGTCCGCGCGATCTGTCCACGCCGCACATCGAGGTGACCAGCACTACGTCGGGTCCGATGGCCGGACTAGGAGTGGGCCTGATGGTCCGTCGCAGCAGTGATCCCAATCTGCTGGCCTCCCTGAAGGCGGAGGGCAGCAACAAGCGCTGGTCGGCGGCGGCTCCCCACTACGCTGGCGGAGATTCCCCCGAGCGCCTGCTCCTGGACAAGGCCGGTGGCCAGTTGTCGCCCCAGTGGGAGGAGGACGACGATCCCGGCCAGCAGCTAAAGGAGCAGCTGCTCCAGCAGCAGCAGCAGCCACATGGAGCAGGATCAGCCAACAACCACCAGCCATTCGCTCGATCCGGCCGCCTGTCCATGCAGTTTCTGGGCGACGGCAATGGCTACAAGTGGATGGAGGCGGCCGAGAAGCTGCAGAGCCAGCCGACAACAGCCCAGCAGATGCATCATCATCATCCCTCTGGCAGCTCCTATTCCAGCAAATCGCTGCCCCGGGAGAGCAAGCGCAAGGAGCCGCTGGGCCAGGCATACGAATCCATACGCGAGAAGGACGGCGAGATGCTGCTGATCATCAACGAGTACGGCAGTCCGCTGGGACTGACGGCTCTGCCCGACAAGGAGCACGGCGGCGGACTGCTGGTGCAGCACGTGGAGCCGGGCAGTCGGGCGGAGAGGGGACGGCTGCGTCGCGATGATCGCATCCTCGAGATCAACGGCATCAAGCTGATCGGACTGACTGAGTCGCAGGTTCAGGAGCAGCTGCGTCGGGCCTTGGAGAGCTCGGAGCTGAGGGTTCGAGTGCTGCGCGGGAATCGGAGCAGAAACTCCAAGGTGGCCGAGATGGTGGAGGTGGCCACGGTGTCGCCCACCCGGAAGCCACATGCCGCTCCAGTCGGCACCTCCCTCCAGGTGGCCAACACACGCAAGCTGGGCAGAAAGATTGAGATACTGCTGAAGAAGGGACCCAATGGACTGGGCTTCTCGGTGACGACGCGCGACAATCCCGCCGGCGGACATTGCCCCATCTACATCAAGAACATCCTGCCGCGCGGAGCAGCCATCGAGGATGGTCGCCTGAAGCCTGGCGATCGCCTGCTGGAAGTGGACGGCACTCCGATGACGGGGAAGACGCAAACGGATGTGGTGGCCATTTTGAGGGGAATGCCAGCGGGGGCCACTGTGAGGATTGTGGTCTCGCGGCAGCAGGAGTTGGCCGAGCAGGCTGGCCAGCCGGCGGCGGAGAAGAGTGTGACTGCAGTTGCTGCTCCCGCTCCGGCTGCCATTCCAATTCCCGTCCAGAAATCCAGCAGTGCACGATCTCTGTTTACCCAGCAATCGCAGCTCAACGAATCTCAGCACTTTATCGATGCGGGCAGCGAGTCGGCGGCCTCGAATGTAAGTTTGTAAACAGAATTAGAGAATCTCTAGAGGATTTCTAACCCAAATTCTATCCTAAACCCACAGGACAGCCTGCCCCCGAGCAGCAACAACTGGCATTCGCGCGAGGAGCTGACCCTTCACATTCCCGTTCACGACACCGAAAAGGCCGGACTGGGGGTCAGTGTGAAGGGCAAGACGTGCTCGAATCTGAATGCCTCCGGATCGAGTGCCTCCAGCGGCAGCAACGGAGGAGGAGGAGCAGGAGGACTGATGAAGCTCGACGGCGACCTGGGGATATTCGTGAAGAACGTCATCCATGGTGGAGCGGCGTCGCGCGACGGTCGCCTGCGGATGAACGATCAGCTGCTGAGCGTGAATGGAGTATCGCTAAGGGGTCAAAATAACGCCGAGGCCATGGAGACACTGCGTCGAGCGATGGTCAATACGCCCGGCAAGCATCCGGGCACCATAACCCTGCTCGTGGGCCGCAAGATCCTGCGATCGGCCAGCTCCAGCGACATCCTGGACCACAGTAGCAGCCATAGTCACAGCAATAGCAGCAGCGGCGGGAGCAATTCGAATGGCAGCGGCCATAACAACAATAGCAGCTCGAATGCCAGCGACAATTCCGGAGCCACGGTCATCTACTTGAGTCCCGAGAAGCGGGAGCAGCGTTGCAATGGCGGCGCCACTGGAGGCAGTGCCGGCAATGAGATGAACAGGTGGGTTGGGTGCTTAAACCAGGGTTCGGAAAGTAACACACGGTAAAAACTTGTTAAAATGTAAAAAATTGTATACACGGCGTGTTTTTTACACAGCGTGTTTTTAACACAATGAGTTGTTGACATTAAAGTGTCAGAAAAATTCACAGTTTTCTAGAGTATGAAACTAACATATAAGATATTTCCCTTCGATTCGTTAATGTCACTAAAATGTAATTTTCATTTGTGTTAAAAACATGCTGCGTAAAAAACACGTCGTGTTAATAATACATTGTGTAAAAAAAACAAGTGAGCTGTGTGCGTTAACAATTATTTTTCACATTCTAACACTTTTGTATCAACAATTTTGCTCATCCTGTAAAATACAATTTATAATGTTTTTAACACGTGTGTCAATTTTTGAACCCAGGGTTAAACTAGTAGAAAAGATTAACTACATGTAAACAATTGTTCTACAGATGGAGCAACCCCGTTTTGGATCGCCTAACCGGTGGCATTTGCTCGTCGAACTCAGCGCAGCCATCCTCCCAGCAGCAGCAGCCGACACATCCCTCCCAGCAGCAACAGCAGACGCAGCAGCAGCAGCAACAGCAGCGCCGCCTGCCCGCACCGCCCGTTTGCAGCAGTGCAGCGTTGAGGAACGAGAGCTACTACATGGCCACCAACGACAACTGGTCGCCGGCGCAGCTGCACCTGCTCACTGGCCACGGCAACACGGCGCTGCTCATCGAGGACGACGCTGAGCCCATGTCGCCGTGAGTCATCCTCTAGGAAAGCCACTAAATACCTGAATTAATCCCGAATCTTCTTCCAACAGAACCCTGCCGGCGCGTCCTCACGATGGGCAGCACTGCAACGCGAGCAGCGCCAATCCATCGCAGAATTTGAACGCAGCCGGCGGAAGCCATCCGGTGGTCGTGGTACCGGGCACACCGTCGACGTCCAGCAACTTTGATGCCACCTACTCGTCGCAACTGAGCCTGGAGACCAACTCCGGCGTGGAGCACTTCTCGCGCGATGCCCTCGGCAGGCGCAGCATCTCGGAGAAGCATCATGCGGCGCTGGATGCCCGCGAAACGGGCACCTATCAGCGGAACAAGAAGTTGCGCGAGGAGCGGGAGCGCGAGCGACGCATCCAGCTGACCAAGTCGGCTGTCTACGGGGGATCCATTGAGTCGCTCACCGCCCGCATAGCCAGTGCGAATGCCCAGTTCTCGGGCTACAAGCACGCGAAGACGGCTTCGAGCATCGAGCAGCGGGAGACGCAGCAGCAAATGGCCGCGGCCGCCGAGTCGGAGGCCAGGGATCAGCTGGGCGATCTCGGCCCGTCGCTGGGCATGAAGAAGTCCTCGTCGCTGGAGTCGCTGCAGACGATGGTGCAGGAGCTGCAGATGTCCGATGAGCCGCGTGGCCATCAGGCGCTGCGGGCGCCGCGTGGGCGTGGCAGGGAGGATAGTCTGCGAGCGGCGGTGGTCAGCGAACCAGATGCGAGCAGTGAGTTTTTTTTCTATATTATATTATTATATATTAGGGTAAGAATTTCTCAACTTTTTGTTAAATTTTTTGGTGTCCATTTAGGGGCGCTATGAATTTTTGAAGTTAGGAACTTCAAAAATGTTCTCAAACTTAAAATTAGTATATTACGGGAACGGCTTAAAAAAACAACGTGCAAAAATATTTTCTTAAATTTTTTGTTGTCCAAAAATTATGAACTTTAATTATTTGAAATTTTTTATCTCGGTTTTAAAGTCTTCTTCATCCTATAAAATAAACTCAACTATCCAAGATTGTCCATCTCATAACCTACTTAATTTACCCGAAGAAACATTTTTGTTCCTTTTCATCATCTCCAAGATTTATAATTTTTTTTGCTAATTTAGAAAATAATAATGATTATACTAAATATATGTGATTTCTTTTAGAGCCCCGCAAGACCTGGCTTCTGGAGGACGGCGATCACGAGGGCGGCTTCGCTGCGCAGCGGAATGGACCCTTTCAGAGCTCCCTGAACGATGGCAAGCATGGCAGCAAGTCGTCGCGGGCCAAGAAGCCGAGCATTCTGCGCGGCATCGGGCACATGTTCCGCTTCGGCAAGAACCGCAAGGACGGCGTGGTGCCGGTGGACAATTATGCGGTGACCATATCGCCGCCCACATCGGTGGTCTCCACCGCCACGTCGCCGCAGTTGCAGCAGCAGCAGCAGTTGCAGTTGCAACAGCAGCAGCAGCAGCTGCAGCAGCAACAGATACCCACCGCTGCATTGGCCGCGCTGGAGAGGAATGGCAAGCCGCCGGCGTATCAACCGCCGCCACCGCTGCCTGCTCCGAATGGCGTTGGTGGTAGCAATGGCATCCATCAGAACGACATCTTCAACCATCGCTATCAGCACTATGCCAACTACGAGGATCTGCACCAGCAGCATCAGCAGCACCAGATTAGGTGAGAGCTCACATCCTGTGCTTCCCTTGCATCCTTTCATTCGGTTGGTGGCGGGATAATAACTTTAAAATAATATATTAGCCATTTAACACCACATTTGTACATATGTGTCGTTTGTCTCTCTTTTTCGCCCCTTTTTTCTCTCTCTGTTTCGCGTATCTGTTTGTCTATGTTTGTTGTCCATGTGTTAACCACCCACACGCACACTCACCCACCACTACACACATCACTAAACCAATTACACTGGTAAAAAAAAAACAAATAACACATAACGAAGCAGTGGAGACGAGTCCCCCACATCCATTTCGGAAACGCTTTCGGAGTCGACGCTCGAGTGCATGCGACAGCAGGTCATCCGGCAGCGCATCAAGGTCGAGGCGGAAAGGTAACCGAAACCCACCCACAAGCACACCCACTCCACCACCCACAACCCCACTACTCATACGTACAAAAACCCCAGTGCAATGCGATTTGTAGATATAAAGACTGTTTTTGGTAATGGATCAAAAGAATAAAAACTAAAACGTAGTATTTATGTATTTTCGTCGAAAATTCAAATCCATATTTTTCACCCTAAAATATCAGTTTTTTGGTCGTAACAATGAAAATAATAATCCAAATATGGAGTGTCATACCTCGATGAGCTCGTAATTAAATTCCCAATCGTTTGGTATTCAAACCTAGAAATTTTCAAATTTTGTCATTTTTCGCAAAAAAATGTGATGTAACCCCTTATAAAAAATGCGAAAATTGATCAAAAAATAAATTTCCCAGAAAGTGATGGGGATCGTTAGCTTAGGTTGTTAGCTGTTCGGGACAGTCGGTCTTTTAGCTGTAGGCCTTGAATTGTCCAAGCTAAGACTAAAAAAACATAAAAAAAAGGGATTATTTTCGTCGAAAATTGGAATCTATATTTTCCACCCTAAAATATCATTTCTTTTTGCAATAGCAATGGATTTACCAGAGGATTTAAATGTAGTAATAGTTAGCCAACCGAATTGCACTGCACCCCAACACTAAATAAATGGATTTTGGCTGCTTACTCGTAATGCTTGTTAAATTTTATGTTTTCGCCGACGAACACTAACCCACAAACAAACCCTAAACATTTTGTAAATTACTCATAAAACCATTACCCGCTTGCTTTCGCAGTCGCCGCCATCAGCATTACCATTCGCAGCGCAGTGCGCGCTCGCAGGATGTGAGCATGCACTCGACGAGCTCCGGCTCCCAGCCGGGATCCTTGGCCCAGCCGCAGTCGCAATCCAATGGCAGCGGAGTCCGTCCCATGAGCAGCTACTACGAGTACGAGACGGTGCAGCAGCAGAGGGTGGGCAGCATCAAGCACAGCCACAGCAGCAGCGCCACCTCGTCCTCCTCGTCGCCCATCAATGTGCCGCACTGGAAGGCGGCGGCCATGAACGGCTACTCGCCGGCCAGCCTGAACAGCAGCGCTCGGAGTCGCGGTCCGTTTGTGACCCAGGTGACCATACGTGAGCAGAGCCACCTGCTGCAGCAGCATCACCAGCAGCAGCAACAGCAGCAGCAGCTTCAGCAGCAGCCCACCTACCAGACCGTTCAGAAGATGTCCGGAGCATCGCAATATGGCACTGCCGCCGGCTCCCAGCCGCACGCCTCCAAGGTGTGACTATAGGTGTTGGCGCAGGCGCGCGCCACCCGCGATGTGCTGGCCGAGAACCGGGTCATTCTCAGCGAGGCCAACGAGGAGGTGGAGGTCTTCTACTTTGCCACCGAGTGCTGAATTTAGTTTGTTTAGTTTGGAGTGGAGAAGAAATGGAACACACATTGGGGGGTGGGTTGATTATTGTAATCTTTCAAGTGAAACTTTTGTATTCCACATCAATTGTAAGCCTTAAAAATGAAAGCAAGGCCAGAGGAAATATGTTTTATGTTTTGAGCTTTGAAAACCAACGGATGAGGTTGCTACTTAACTTATTTAAAATCCTGATTAATTAATATACCTACAATTATCCGTGATATTTGGTTAAGCAAACAAACGGAAAGAACCAGGATAAAATATTTTCAACGGTCCGCTAGGAGAGGATAACACCGATTTTATGTTTTTTGTAAATTACTTTGCGAATATTACTTTGATTCAACAGATTTCAAACCAATTGACCCACCCTGACACACACACATCTAGGCTAAGTTCACGATTCACAATATATATATACGACATATATAGAGATATGCATATTTGGCGAACCAGAAATTAGACACCAGAAACCAAGAGAGTAACGAGTAAGGAAAGTATTCCCCGTACAGCGCTGCCCATTTGTCGAGTGCTTAGGCTTAGATGTTTAAACTTTAAAGTAAACAAAAACGATTTCCGATTGTATTAAGCTTTAGCTGTAAGTCCAAGTCAAACGCCTTTGTACATAATTAGTTTACGCAGAAGCCAGCAAAAAGAAAAGCAAAGAAAAGGAGAACAACTTTAAATTCCAAAACTACGAAAGGTCTTAAGAATTTCCATTGTCATTTATACTTATTTTTTTTTTTCTTCCAACATTTACATATATATTCTTTGATCTGTAAATAGAACTTGTTTGTTTGTTTTGTTAAGCTTTAAAGCGGACGCCATTTTGTGTGTGCAAACGTGTGGATTTGCAAGAAGCGAAAAGTAAAACTTATAGCCAACCCATATACATTATATAGCTATATGCGTAAGTGAAGCAATTTTTTTTTCCCTAACGATAATCGAGCTTAGAAAAGAGTAAAAGTTTTGTGCAGCCGACCGCGGCCCAGGTCTCTAAAAAAGACAAGCAGCTTAATTTAGTTATACGAACCCATACGATTAAGCCCAATTTAGTGGGTAAGCCTACATGTATAGCGAATATATACGATACTTTAATTTTGTGTACTTCCTAAGTAATTTGTGCGATACCGAATACCGAGTTGCGAATTAAAAGTTACAAATTTTCATAAACCATTCGAGCTGTTCGATTTTCTATATGACAACCAACGACTGACGACAGACGACACTTCAGCTTCATCTCTTCACTGCCTTGGTGCTCTTTCTTATCTTGGACTCTCCTTCGGCGGGCGGTGGAGTGGATGAGCCGGCGGCTGGGAGGGATTTGGTCTTTCTTTTCCTGGGCGATCTGCCCTTGCGTCGCACGAGCTCCTCCGCTGGCGGCTTTGACGCCGGAATGGGCTGCAGCACGGTGAAGTTCTTCAGGAGCTCCGGACTGGGCGTCTTGTCCCAGTGCTCACTAGAGGTTTGGATGGTAATTTGGGGATTAGTTTGAAGGAGCATCAAAAAGTGAACGCGAATTCTTCAGCATATTACATTTACTTGTAAAAAAAAGTACGCGAATTCTTAAGCATTCTATATTCACTATTATTTGTCAATAAATTATCAAATTAAAATAGCAGTGACAACGCGAATTCTTCAGCATCTTACATTCACAATTATTTGGCAATAGATTATCAAATCAAAAAAGCACTCAAAACGCGAATTCTTGAGTGCGCCATACCACTATTATTTGTCAATTAATTACCAAATCAAAATAACACTGAAAACGCGAATTCTTCAGCATCCTACATTCACTATTGTTTGTTAATAAATTATACAAAAAAAATGAGTAAACTAGTGAACTCACTCTGGCAAACTATTTGGCGGCACCACCACGTCCAGGACGTTGTCTATTAGCCGCGACTTGAGCATGCGATCGTTCGTGGTGGTCGAGTGCATCGATGGCGACGTATTGATCTCGATCAGCCAGGGCTTCAGGTTATTGTCGATGATGATGTCATAGCCGTAGACCTCGAAACAGTGCCGATCGTTGGCCATCACCGGAGCCACTGCGTCCAGGGAGTGACGGATGGTGTCGGTGATGCGGCTCCACAGCATCTCCGAAATGCCCTCGCCCCGCAGGCTGTCCAAATAGAGCCACAGATTCTGCAAGGGCCACTTGCCACCATGGATCGAGTTGTACTCTTGCTGTGGGTTATTTACAAAGCCCATAGGGCGTATGAGTGATATTTGTTATGTAATGTCAAATTTATGATTCAAACATATCAACTTGATATTTTATCATTTCATAAATGCTGTAAAAATACTGTTTTAAATATCGAATTTAGTATTTTTTAAACATACATTGTAAAATAAGATAAACTTAATCTTAATGTCAAAATGATATGAATGCACATATCAATTTGATATTTTGTCATTTTTTTTAGTTCCAACTTACGTTCGTTTTTTGTATGCTAACATTGGTGAGGTGCATAAAGACATTGTCGATCTCGGTGTGGTCGTACTTCTCGGTGCAGAAGCGGCAGAAGCCCTCCTTGTAGAGATACGCCTTCAGCGGATTGAAGGTGGTCACCAGGACGAAGAGTCGCAGATCGAATTTCTTGCCGCCGATGAGCAGCGGATTGTCGATGTACTTGGAGATGACGCAGGTGTCCCTATTGATCTGCGGATAGAAGGTGCGCGCATCGTAGGCGTACTTCTTCAGCTTGGACAGCTTGTTCACCAGATAGATGCCCACGCCCTGTGATTTGCTGCACGGCTTGACGATCCACGTGCTCGCCGGATTGCGATGGAAGACCTCGACGAACATCTGGTAGTCGGAGGGCAGGACAAAGGTCATGGGTATGATGTCCAGGTGCTTGTACCGGGTCCCACCTACTCCGAGTTTCGTGTCTGGCGGATGGCTCTGGGCCAGCGGATCGCCACGTCGTTCCAGATCCTTGCGGTACCGCTTGATGTTCTTGATCAGCAGATCCTTGCGCGACAGCTCCACGGAGTTTGGAAAGTGGTTAATGACTCTGGGGATGGATGATCTATCTATATATCATATCAAAGGATCCTGGGACTACTTACTGATCCGATCGCATGCGATACGGATGATCGATGCCGAAAATGTAGCGGCAATTCTGGGTACAGGCCCAGTAGAAGTTCCATTCGCCATTGAAGGACGGCACCTGCAGCCAGCCCCTTTTCTGGAAATTACTGACCAGCGCCGATTTCTCCCAGTCCGTGCTGTAGTAGATGCCCTTCTGGGACTTCGTTGGCCTCAAGCGACTGCGTATGAACTGCACTCCCATGAGTGGCGATGGATTGGTTATCTTCACCTCCGGCAGGTCATCGTCACTGGTGCAACTGCCGCCGCATTTCTGGCGAAGATTCCTCAAAGCACTCGTCTGGCCCTTCATTTTGGGCCGTTTATGGTCTCTCTCGGTCTCCAACTCTACACTATAATACTGAGAATTTTTCCCCCGATTTCGAGACGATCGTTGTTTAGTTGCTGACAATCTAGTTTTGGCCTGGCTGATGACCTCGGGGCTCTCATTGATTAGGAAAAGAACTTTCAAAAGTACTAACTAAATAAATCTGTTGGGATAAATTGTTTTTAATATTTTAAGACGAATTCTTCAGTAAAATATTAGACCATTGTATTATTGAATAAATTTCAATTTCCTTATTGTTTACATCAGTACTAACTAAAGAAATCTGTTTGGATAAATAGCTTTTCCTAATATTTAAATTAATTCTGTGAAACATCTTAAAATTAAAGTCAAAGGAAACGCGAATTCTTCAGTAAAATAGTTGACCTTCGTATTTTTGAATGCATTTCGATTTCCTTATCGTTTACATCAGTACTAACTAAATAAATCAGTTTCGAAAATAGCTTTCTCTAATATTTAAATGAATTCTTTGAAATATCTTAGAATTAAAGCCAAAAGAAACAGTAATATATTTGACCTTGGTATTTTTGAATACATTTCAATTTCCCTTCCGTTTCTTTAAAGTATTATAATTGACTTGTTCCCACGACTAATGACAAAATCCTACTGTTTCCCCAAAGCAGATCCGCTTGCATAATTCCCCGAGAAGAAAACGAAAGTGTTAATTCCCCTGAAAGTGCAATATTTGCCCGAAAATAACAATGGATTTTCTTGGGTTCTAGATAAGCGCAAACCTTCTGCGGAACCGCAAGACCGCAAAGATTGAAGAGCTGACTTTGACACAAATATTTGTGAGACTAGTTCACCTGTCTCCCAAGGGGGCCCTCAAAATCCATTGAGTAATTTCACACATTGCTTTTAGTTTGGCTGTGGTACAGAACAATCGGCGACTATTGTCGCCCCTTTCAACTTGGCTGGGTATAAAGTCGATGGTCTGGTCACCGGAGTTCATCAGTCGACGCGGCAAAGTCAAGAGTGGATTTTGGATTTTCGATTTTGGATTAGCTGGAACATAGGACATTACATCATCATGAAATTCTACCTGGCACTGGCGGCAATCGTGGTCGTGATGGCTTCGGCAGAGGCCACCTTTGGCAAGCTTAATCTTCTCCTGGGCGGCGCCTCCACCGCTGGCTATGGATCTGGATACGCTGGCTATGGTTCTGGCTATGGATCAGGCTATGGATACGGATCAGGATATGGATCAGGCTATGGTTCCGGCTATGGATACGCTCCCGAGAACGTGGTGAAGGTGATCAAGGTCTCCGTGGTGCCGGGAGGAGGAGTCGGCGGAGGCTATGGTGGTGGTTATTCCGGTGGCTATGGAGGCGGCTACTCCGGTGGCTACTCCGGTGGCTTTGTGGGCGCTGCTCCGGCCATCTCCACCTCGGCTGTGGTCACTCCGGTGGTCACTGCGGTGTCCACACCGGTGGCCACTCCTGTGTTGGCCGGTGGTGCCGGCTATGTGAGTGGTTTCGGTGGCGGACTGGGCGGAGGATTGGGAGGATTGGGTGGAGGATATGGAGGCTATGGAGGATCCTTCGGCGGTGGTGCCGCCCTGCCCGCCTCCTACGGATTTGGAGCCGGCTATGGAGCAGGCGGTGGCTTCGGACTGGGATTCGGAGCACCACCACCACCTCTCGGTCTGGCCGGAGGACTCTGCTAGACAACGAGGAGGCCACAGCATCCAGTGGTGTTTTTTTTTCATAATCCTAAACAACGATTTGTAATTTAAAGTTAACGATTTGTAATAAAGTGTAAAAATAACGATTAAAATGTGAGTTCTTTTGGTTTTTTCCACGGATTCAAGGGATAAATGCAAAGGTACATTAATTTGTATTTAATAAATGTTTTCATTTTATTTAAAGAAAGACATATTATTATTATATCAGCAATTTAAAAATTTTCAATTCTAATAAAATGTTCTAGTTATTATGAAATTGACTTTTTAAACAGGTATAAAATTTAAGCTGCAAAAATAATGTGTAATAAATACAAATAGAATAGAAAGAATTGAATTGATATGCCCAAAAGTCTGCTAAGTAAAAAATATTCACGAGCATAGATTCTTTCTTAAATTTAATTCCTATGAATGGTTCGTATAATTTGGGCCTTTTGCAATTGAACGCTTGACAATTACAAAATAACGTGTCGCACCAATTGAAGAAGTCAGATCTGCCGAAAATAAAACCCTGGCGACCTTCGTTTTTGGGCCTCTGAATGAAACCGAGAGTTGAGTACTGTTTACGCACTCAGTTAGCCGGCTTTAACCCTTTTCACACCCCTTCAACACCCCCTTAACCCACCAGTTTCCGAATTCGTGAGCCCAACAAAACTGTTAATGTTAATCAAGTGCCAAAAACCAAAAGCAAAACCAAAGTCAAAGTCACAAGAGCCAAGCCCAAAAAAAAAAATATAATGTTCGGCCGAGAATGCTGTACGCCCCATGGGTGCAAATTGGTTGAGCTGGACCAGCTCCATCCACCTATCCACCTCCATTTCCAGGTACATATGTCGCAGCCACTCCAACCCCTCCCACCACTTGAACCACTTGAACCACTGAAACCACAAAAGCCCAAAGAAATACACCACACAACAAACGCCGGGAAAAAAAGACTACACAATCTGTAAATGGAAATGTGTAAATTGGCTATGATTTAATATTTGCCATGCTCAGACAATAAAATAAATAAAAAAAATATAAAGAAAATACTAAATACAGTAGGTTTCGAAACTGTTCATTTGTTTTAATATAATAATAAATCTAAATATGATTAAAATAATATAAATATAATTTAAAAAAGAGAGATAAAAAATAAATATAACAAAATATACTAAAGAAATATAATAAAAGTATTGAATACAGTATGTTTATAAACTGTTAAGTTAATTTAAAAAAACTATAGCTAAATATAATTAATATAATATACATTTGATTTAAGGTTTTGAAGAGGTTTGTATAGTTTTGAAACGTGCTGTATTTCTTTTTTTTTTTGACTGGCCACCATTTTTTTTTCTTCTTACGACATAAGAATTATTTATGCTGCAAATTTGAATGCCTAAAATTCCACGGATCTTTCCCCTAAAATGGCTTTTACGATACTCTCGTGCACAGATAAAAACCAGTTGTAAAATTATGGCAACATAAAATTTCGCCAGATGGAACACCTTTTTTGGTGGGTTCTGCTTCTTTTTTTTTGACCCAATTTGCATAACAGTCTAGATCAATAGAGAAAAAAAACAATAGGCCCAAAGCCGACATTTACATATATGTAATATTTGATCTCGGATGGTTGGAAATACGTCAGAAAACGTGGACGTGGCCGACAGGTTTGCGGATCCAAAACCGAAATCCGAAATCCGAGATGAGCGAAGATTTCTGGGCGTGCTTGGGTTATTTGGATTTTCGGATTTTTGGCTATTTGGATATTGGCATGGCTTTAACCCGCTGAGCCCCTTGACTACGTGAAGTCATGCCTAAGATTTCGGGGGCTGAATGAGTGACAATGCCAATACACTGGCCACGCACATGTGCCGGCATGCACTGTGAGAAATGACTGGAAAAAGTATTTTTAAAGATATATTTTTTATTCATTTCTTTTAGCATATTTTTGCATTAAAAATATTGGTTAATTTTTTTTAAATTAAAAAAAAATACAAAATTAAACTTAAGCAAAATATATTTATTTCTTTTTTTCAAATCAGCCTCCATTAAATTGGGACCATAAACAAATGAGTCAATAAATATGCAACGCACATTGAATTGTCTGTGTGAATTTCCCCATCGTTTGTTAACATTCTCCAGAAGGCATGTCACTGATGAATAATATTTTAAGACTGTTGGCTGGTAGAAATAATATTCCTTACTTGCAGTATAAATAATATAATTATAAATATATAATTTCCTAATTTTACTAAACATTTATAGTTAAGATCATATAGGAAAATATAATATTTTAAGTCTGTTTACTTGCAATGTAAATAATGTAGCTATAAATATTTAATTTATTAATTTTATCAAAGGTTCCAGGGATTATTATAAAAGTTAAGTTAAAGTTAAGATCATATAGCAAACTGTATCCCAAACATTTCGCCCAGTGTTAATTGGGGAATTACCTGAGCTTCTTGCGAATCCGTAACGCTTTTGGGCCGTGGCTTTATTTAACCACTTTTTTGCCGTGCCGGGGGATGCGAGAAAATATCTCACTTGATGGTTAAGTAGTTGAGTTGACAGACAGCCGGTGGCTGGCGGCCCCGCCCAGATTGGGAATATATGTATATCCCTCGACTCTTTGGCCCATAAGTAACCATTTATGAATTAAGCAAACAGCTCTGCTGGTGGGGAATCTCGAATCTCGAATCTCAGCTTCAGCTCATCTCGCACCGCAGCATAGATTAGAACTACACAAACACAAAAGGCGCGGAGCACAAAGACACGAAACACAGGTACGAACTGCCGTTTCGCTATAAATTAGTGCCCCCCTGGATTTGGGACATCAGTTGAGTTTCGTTCAGGTTGCGGGCAGCATCACTAGCATTACTAACATCCCTCTTAAAACCATGAAGCTGTACGTTTGCATTTCGCTGGCCCTCTTGGCCCTTTGTGCCCCGGTTCCCTCGGCCGGTTTGTTGGGCGCCAAATTGGCTCTGCTGAAGGCCATTGGCGGCGGTCTCGGTGGCGGTGCCTCCACCGGAAGTGGCGGAAGCTATGGCGGCGGCTACGGCAGCGGTGGATACTCCGGTGGCTACAACCAGGGATACTACAGCCAGCCCAGCCGGCCAGTCTACAATAGCGGTTATGGCAGCTCCTCCTCGTCGGCATCTTCCTCCGCCAGCAGCTATGGTGGTGGCTATGGAGGTGGTTACGGAGGTGGTTACGGCGGTGGTTACGGCGGTGGTCAGGAGCAGGTCATCAAGGTCATCAAGGTGGTGGAGCAGCCCTCCTACGATTATGGACGCTCGGCCGGCTATGGCGGCAACTATGGAGGATACTCTTCCAGCGCCTCTTCCAGTGCTTCGTCCAGTGCTTCATCCTACTCCGCTCCTGCTCCCGCTGTGACTTACTCTGCTCCTGCTCCTGCTGTGACTTACTCTGCTCCTGCTCCCGCTGTGAGCTACTCTGCTCCTGCTCCTGCTGTCACCTACTCCGCTCCTGCTCCCGCTGTGACTTACTCCGCTCCTGCTCCCGCTGTTACCTACTCCGCCCCTGCTCCTGCTCCCGTGGTGCGTGTTCAGGCTGCTCCTGCGGTGACCTACTCCGCCCCTGCTCCTGCTCCCGCAGTGACCTATTCCGCTCCTGCTCCCGCGGTGACCTATTCCGCCCCTGCTCCCGCTCCCGTGGTTCGCATCCAGGCTGCTCCCGCTCCCGCAGTGACCTACTCCGCCCCTGCTCCCGCTCCCGCTCCAGTGGTGCGCTACGCGGCCCCAGCTCCGGCGCCCATCAGCTACGCACCCGCACCCGCTCCTGCTCCCGTTTCCTACGTCCAGCAGCCGCAGAGCCAACAGGTGGTGAAGACCATCAAGCTTATCGTGGATGAGGATCGTGCTCCTGCTCAGGTCTATGGACCGCCGGCCGTCGAGTCCAGCTACTCCAGTGCCTCCTCCTCCGCCTCCGCCTCTGCAGGTGGCTACAACACTGGTTACAATGGTGGTTACAACACTGGTTACAACGGTGGTTACAATGGTGGCTACAATGGAGGTTCCAATGCTGGCTTCTCCGGTGGTTTCGGTGGCGGCTGGAAGCGCGGCGGCATCTTCGAGAAGCTGGTCGGCTGCTAGGCCATAAACCTTTGGGATCCCAATTAAGGATCCGAGAAACCCAAATCCTAACCTAACCGTACTCAACTATTTTTTTTCTAGTTCTAAAACGAATAACTGTATTTTTTTTGTTCGATCGATGTGTACATAAAATAAATCAATATACCCGACATCTCCATAATCTTATGTAATCGCCAGAATTTCAGACGACTTTGTCTGTCTGCTGATTTTTAGATATATATATTTATTTTTTGGGGTTTTTTCATGGCTCCCGAACGCCCAGGGTTCATTGTGTTATTGATTCTAAACGAAATTAGCACCCAGTTGCTAACTCCCAACGAATCGATGGCGATTCCGATTCCGGATCTCAAGAGATCGCGAAGAAGGCCCTGAGAACGAGGTTAAGCTTGAAGGAAAGAGAGAGAGCGAGAGATATTCGGGTTTATAATTTGCATTTAATTATTATAACCGCTTAGGTTCTTTTCCTATTAAATAGATATGATGTAAGGAATAAATACGTACCTAATATTAAAATCTCTGATGACTTTTACTATTTTTATAGAATCTTTTAGGCTCTAAATTAAATGGGTTTATAGGATCACGAAACGCTAATCTAAACGTAATTCATAATTATAAATATAATTAAAACCTCGATTATCAGATACCCGTTACTCAGTTAAAGGAAGTGCTTATAACTGTTTAATGAATATTCCGATTTGAAAAATTTCTTCTACTTTTCGATGGGTATAAATGTTTATTCTTGAATAAGACAAAATATTATCCATAAAATTAGAAAAACTTAATTTTTCAGTGTTTTGCTTAATAAATAAAATTAATTGTGAATTTTATTGATTGGAGGTATAGATTCGATCTTTAACTTGCGGGTGACATGCGAAAAGTGTCACCGATGGGCGTTCAGCCAAGACCAAGAACATCCGTTCGCCGGCGAATATAAAAGCTGTGAGTCCCCGAAGAGTTGGCCAAAAGCGAAATGCAAGTGCTTGGTGCTCAATTGTTTACTTTGGCAGTGACTGCGGTAGTTGTGGTGACTTCAGTTCGTGGTCACGCGGTGGAGCAGGAGCATCTGGCCGGCCACGGTGCGTATGAGTAATGTTAAATGATTTGGATAACTAATTTATTATTCCATATCCCCAGCCTATGGACCAGCCATACACATTAGTTCGGGGATTCTCCAATTGGCCCCCGATGCGGAGCAGCCCCAATTGCTACTGGTGCCCAATGCCCACTCCTCGTCACTGGGAAATCCCTGGCCGCATTTCTATGTAGACACCTTGACCGCTTCGCACCTGCCACACTCATCGATTCCATCGATCGCAGCCATCCCAATGACCCCTTCGATCCACGAACCACGCATCGTGGTCAGCGATAATGTGGACTTTTCGCAGCTCAAATTGCCCCAGCATAAAGTTGTCCACTCCCACGGTCGCTAAATGGGTTCATCGAGGCAGCGAAACTATTTACTAACTACCATAAACTATAATATTTTGGGTTTTTTTTTTGTATTTTTATATTTTTATATTGCCTTGGATTTAATTTGTTTTCTAATCTTACGCAGACATTGAATAAAATTGCTATTAAAATAATGTTGGTGATTTTTTAAAAGATTATATCGACTATTAAATACTAAGTGTGTTCGGACGTTTGCTGTAGTTGAGAGAACATAAACCCACCACTCTGTTATAACCGAGTTTTATGTAAAGGGAGTCACAAGAGAGAGAACGATCGACGATTCTTTTATGGGCATCGAACAGAAGCAGTCATCCCAGCCGCTGGTCGCGTTTAATAATCTAATATAATAAATTAAAATTGATACCATTGTCAGCATTGAAGATTGTAAAGTGAAAAAACTGAATTCGAAGTAATTGTAGATAATAAATAGACCATCCATGAAGTGCACCTTTTAGAGTTATAATTTTCAAATTGGTGGAAAAACCCCAGAGCATCTTTGCTCATCTTTGACAATATAAATTGTCACAACATTTTGGTGGCCCATGAGGGGACCCATCCAATCACGCCTTCTGGAATAATTATCTACTAATCTGTTTTCGAATTAATTAATCAGTTTGGATCTAAACTTTGTGAAATCTGGCACATGGTTATAAATTTTCCATTCGCAACTACATATAACCAGCAAACGGCAGCACATGTATAAGTGCTGTTACACTATCGTCCCATACGCTTTACCCTCCAACTGCGCTGCCCTGCCGATCCATCGCTTTGCCGAAGTCAACGTGGGTTAATTTAGATGCTGGAGAGAAGCTGTTTCGCTGCCGAAATCTATCACGTCGCATCCCCCACACCTTTTCGTCAAACCTGGAGCGACTTCACTTGGACTTCCAGACTTTTCGTTCAATTTCGTTACGTCACAACTTGAAAGGGGTAAGTGTCGTTGTGGTGTGTTGGTGAGTTGACAAAGTATTGAGTACATTTTTCAGTGTATAAGAGTAATACAATCAAAGCTGAAACATGGCAGCAGATAAAGACCAGGAGCAGGGGCAGGCATCCAGCGATGCCAGCCTATCAAACCTACATATACTTCAAGCTGATATTTTTGAACGTGTTAAACAACTTTATCAAAATTTTAAAAAGGATAGTCAGTCAAGAAAAACTAAAATCTATTTTCAAACTCGTATAAATAAACTTGAAAATTTCTCAAAGGAATTCGACACCAATCATCAAACTCTTTTATTGAACGGTTGCTCACCTGAACATGAATATTTTACCTCTCAACTAGCAGCAAGGTTTGAAGAGTCTTACTTAACATATTATTGCGAGATTGGAGACGCCTTCGAGACCCGGTTTCCAACAGTTCCCAGCGACGCTACTCCTAGCCATTCTAATTCAACGATGCACAACACCACCATGCTACAAGCGCCTGGCTCTACAGTTCAACTACCAAAATTACCAGTACCTAGTTATTCTGGCAAGCTGACTGAATGGCCAGCCTTTCATGATGTCTTTCAACAACTTATTCACGATAATGGTGCACTTTCCAGCATACAAAAATTCCACTTTCTGAAGCAAGCACTCCCAGCGGACCGAGATCAAGACGTGCATCAAATGGACTTGACTGAAGCGAATTATCTCGTCGCCTGGAGTCTCATTGTTACGCGTTATAATAATCCCCGATTGTTATTCATGCATCATATGAATACCCTATATGAGTTGCCATCAATTTCCAAAGAAAGTTCAGCCGAACTAAAACATATGTTAAACGTTGCCAACGTTTGCATCAATGAGTTCAAACGCCTCAACATTGCAATTGCCAATTGCGATCATTGGATTGTGCATCATCTCACCACTAAGCTGCCATCGCAAACTATCCAAGCCTGGGAACACAGTCTTGGGAGTACAAAGGAAATCCCAACCTTTTTCACTTTGGAATCATTTCTCAACAACCGACTTTTTAGCATCGATATAATTGAAGGTCGCAAGGTTCCACCTCCACCACGGCAACCACAAGGAGTCAACGGCTTCCAACGAAACGTCATCAAACATTCAGGCAACGCACAAACCAGGATCAGTAGCTGCCATACTTCAGGGGTTACTACCAACTCTGTTCGCTGCGCTCATTGCAATGACCAACACATCTTACGTCGTTGTCCAGACTTTTTAGCAAAGGATTCTTTCGCTCGCAAACTTATTGTTGACCGCAGTAAGGTATGTCTCAATTGCCTCAGCCCCACCCATTCTCTGTCAAAATGTAACAGCAGCAAAAACTGTTTACAATGTGGACAACGCCATCACACTCTCTTACATTTCCCAACCCAGGTAAAGGCTAGTGATGTCGCGCAGTCTGCAGGAAACATAACTAGTCTCAACTCACAGGGTCTGACAGCATCTAGCAACACCACACAGCTCATCAGCGCGTCAGCCTCACATTCAACACCTCATACGATGATTCTCGCAACTGCTCTGGTTCGTCTTCATAGTAATGCCACAGGTCAGTCAGCGGTGGTCCGAGCCCTTATCGATCATGGATCAGAAGGTACCCTTGTTACGGAAACTGTAGTCCAAGCGCTAGGGCTTCCCCGATTTCCAGTCTCAGCAGAAATATCAGGGGTAGGAGGGAATTCCACCAACAGGTGCAAATATCGCACCGAATGTACTTTAAGCTCAACTACTAATTCAGGATTCAAGATGTGGGTGGAAAATGCCTTCGTTTTGCGTACCCTGACTTCTCCTTTACCAAGGACGAATCTAACTCTACCAACGTGTCCACATTTAACTGGGTTGGAGCTCGCCGACCCAAATTTTATGCACACTAATAGCATAGATGTGCTCCTCGGCGTGGACACCATTCCACAATTTATGATGAGTGGAATCAGGAGAGGATCTTACGATCAACCAATTGCCCAATGCACGCAACTTGGTTGGATCATTTTTGGCAGAATTACGCCAAAACAGACACACACGATATCCATACAATGTCATCATTCTAATCTGGAAACTCTAGTTCAAAAATTCTTCGAATTGGAAGCAGTAAGTACAACCCGTCTCTACACTGCGGAAGAACAATGGTGCGAAGACCACTTTAAACGCACTCATATACGCCAACCAAATGGAAAGTACATGGTGCGCCTACCATTTAAAACCTTATTTGATCCTAACCAAACCATAGGAAAATCAAAACAAACTGCCCTAAATCGGTTTCATTTTTTACAGCGAAAATTCCAAAAGAAACCAGATCTGTATGAACAATACTCAAAGGTCATGGAGGAATACTTCGAGCTGCACCAAATAACTGAAGCCATCACCTCAGAAGAACAGCATCGCCTGGCGGACAAAGGAGGCTCAATCAGTTATACTGCATGCACATTACCCCATCATGCAGTTCTGAAGGCGGACAGCAGCACCACAAAACTTCGAGTTGTGTACGACGCCTCATGCAAGACATCAAATGGAAAATCGCTCAACGACATTCTCTGTATAGGCCCAGCCTTACAAAACGACCTTGGTGGGGTCATTCTCAATTGGCGATTTTTACAATATGTCTTTGCGGCCGATATTCAGAAAATGTATCGTTGCATCGATGTACACCCGGAGGATACACACTTCCAACGGATTATTTGGCAAAGGGAAAACAATGCTATAAAGGATTATTGTTTAACAACTGTGACGTTTGGAACAGCATCAGCCCCGTACACAGCCATTCGCATCATGCATCAGATCGCTCAGGATGAACGAGATCAATTTCCATTAGCAGAACATGTTTTACGAAAAGAAATATATGTGGATGATTTGCAAAGTGGACATGAGACAATTAAGGGAGCCCTTCAAGTTCGAGATGATGTCATCGGGGCACTTCAATCAGCTGGTATGGAGCTTCGAAAATGGGCAGCAAATCATCCCAGTCTTTTGAACTCTATTCCTCCTGAGCACATGTCCAATTCCAAAATTTTGGAAATCGAAAACCAAGAGTCCATTAAAACTTTGGGGCTATATTGGCACCCCAAGGAAGACTTTTATGGTTTCAAATTAAAATTTACAATTGATGAAATTTTCACTAAACGATCAATTCTTGCTACAGTTGCACGTCTGTACGATCCTTTAGGTTTCGTTGCTCCAGTCATAATCATCGCCAAGGTTATTCTCAAAGAAGTCTGGAGCATACGTATTCAACAGGCTGATGGCACTCCAGCAGGATTAGCTTGGGACGCAACGGTACCGCCAGTAATTCAGCACAAGTGGAAAGAATACTGCACCAATTTACTTAAAATTGAATCACTGAGAATACCCCGATGGTTACAGTATTTACCCAGCACCATCGCATCCTTGCAGCTGCATATCTTTTGTGATGGCTCTTCTATGGCATACGCAGCGTGTGCCTATGTGCGGGTCCAACATACAAATAACTCGGTATACACGCATCTCATAGCTGCAAAGAGTCGAGTCACACCCACAAAGCCGTTGACAATTCCTAGAGTGGAACTATGTGGAGCTGTACTCGCCGCACAACTGGGTGACTGGCTCTGCAAGCAAATAGATCAACCAACGCATCCCATTTCGACCTATTTCTGGAGCGACGCAACGATCGTTCTTTATTGGATTGCGGGGGATCCCTTACATTGGAAAACATTCGTAGCGAATCGTGTAGGACGAATTTTGGAGTCCAGTTCTGCATCTCAATGGAGACATGTGCCCACCGGAGATAACCCTGCAGACTGCGCGACGCGTGGTCTCTATCCAGATCAATTAGCTGCCTATGATTTATGGTGGCAGGGGCCTTCTTGGCTACGACTACCAGAATCTCAATGGCCTAGCAAAATCTTTGACATTCCTGATAGCACCAATCTCTCGTGTGAGCAAAAATCGCTTTCTCTACAAACCCACAGCTGCGTTGAGAGAAATCCAAACTCTTTACTCACGTCGTTTTCATCTTACAACAAACTTCTGTTTATAATGGCTTACGTACGACGCTTTATTCACAATTCACAAACGCGCGTGGACTCTCGACAGAGAGGTCCAGTTACCGCCCAGGAGTTTCAGCAGGCACTAGGGCACATTGTCCGACTAGTGCAACATGAAACGTTTAAGGTGGAGATTCAAAAAATAAAGACAAAAACACATTTATCTAGATCGAACAAATTAAGTCAACTTTCCCCATTTCTAGATAACGAAGGAGTGCTGCGTGTCCGAGGGAGATTGAAAAATGCATTGCACCTATCGCCGCATCAACGCACACCGATCATTTTGCCAAAGGATCATCATTTTACCGAACTTGTCATTCGTAATGCTCATCTCAACACATTACATGGCGGGATATCACTTACACTGGCAGTGACAAGGCAAACGTTTTGGATTCTTAATGGGAAACAGGCAGTTAAAAAGATTCTGCACAAATGTGTTGACTGCTTCAAGCACAGACCGAAGGCAGTCACGCAGCTCATGGGAGACCTTCCCTTACATCGAGTGAACCCACCAAAGCGAGCCTTTGAAGCCACAGGCGTGGACTATACCGGTGCGCTAGAAATCAAAGCGTCAAAGTTTCGTGGACACCACAAATACAAGGCATATATTGCAGTTTTTATATGCTTGGCGACAAAGGCAGTCCACTTGGAAGCTGTTACCGGATTGTCTTCTCAGGATTTTTTGTGGGCTCTACAACGTTTTATTGGCAGACGTGGATACTGCCAACACATCTACAGCGATTGCGGTACCAATTTCATTGGAGCAGATAAATCCCTAAACCTTTGGCATGAAGAGTTTCGACAAAGCGTTATCGCAACGGTTATTCCAAAATTAACCGCTCAGCAGATTCAATGGCATTTCAATCCGCCACACAGCCCAAACTTCGGTGGATTATGGGAGGCGAATGTTAAAGCGGTTAAGACACACTTACATCGCACGTGTAAAGGGGCGCTCATGACCTACGAACAACTCTCAACTATTTTGGTTCAAATCGAAGCCTGTTTGAACTCTCGCCCACTTTGCCCGTTGAGCTCGGATATGGAGGATTTAGCAGTACTGACACCGGCCCATTTCTTAATTGGCGATTCCATGATGGCGCTACCTAATCCATCAGCTTCGGATAAATCGTTAAACGCACAATTCTTGGAAGGACAAAGACTGCTTCGAACCTTTTGGCATCGTTGGAGCTCGGATTGGCTTTCACACTTACAATCTCGTCCAAAATGGCAGCGGGTTGAGGAAAACTTGCGTTTACACGACATAGTTATTATTAAAGATGATCGGCTTCCGCCAAATGAATGGAAGCTCGGTCGCATAGTCGAATTACATCCAGGATCTGATAATCTCATTCGAGTCGCATCTATTAAGACGGCATCCGGAATTTATAAACGCTCTTTGTCGAAAATCTGTCCATTGCCATTAGCTACTTATTCAGAGGCTACGGAATAAACATTAATTACGTACATACTTTGTCCACCTCTACATATCGTAATGACACTTATTTCTTTACAGCAAAGTGCAGAAATTTGGTTTAAATACTGGACTCAGTATTTGGGGGCGGCATGTTCGGACGTTTGCTGTAGTTGAGAGAACATAAACCCACCACTCTGTTATAACCGAGTTTTATGTAAAGGGAGTCACAAGAGAGAGAACGATCGACGATTCTTTTATGGGCATCGAACAGAAGCAGTCATCCCAGCCGCTGGTCGCGTTTAATAATCTAATATAATAAATTAAAATTGATACCATTGTCAGCATTGAAGATTGTAAAGTGAAAAAACTGAATTCGAAGTAATTGTAGATAATAAATAGACCATCCATGAAGTGCACCTTTTAGAGTTATAATTTTCAAATTGGTGGAAAAACCCCAGAGCATCTTTGCTCATCTTTGACAATATAAATTGTCACAACAAAGTGAGTGCGAGAGAGATGACAATATGCAACCAATCGCTGGAAGTGGCGCCATCTAGCGGAAAATTCATTATTTGTTCATAGCCTTTCAATAAGTGGTCCCATTTTAATCTTTAAAAAATAAATAAATTATAATAAAGTAATAATTATATTTCAACCCAAATAAAAATCATTTTTAAATTCCTTTTAAATTAGTTTTATTTCAATAATCGTAACAAACAAAAAAAAAAACAGCTTTAGAGTAAGATAATCTTTGAGCATTTTGCTAGGTATCGGGTGCGACGACTATCACAGTCTTAGTAGAGATGCTCCAGCTGGTGGTGCTCCAGGTGGTGCTGTTGCTCCGCCTGGTGCTCGAGCTCCACCTGCTGCTCGAGGGCCTGGTGCTGCAGGTGGTGCAGCTCGTGCTCGTCGCGGTCCTTGAACTCGTACAGGGTGCTGTAGCTGAAGGCTCCCTTGCCGTGATCGATGCCGGGCACCGCCTTGTGGTCCTCGTGATCCCCGTGATCCTGGTGATCCTCGTAGTGCGAGTGCAGCTCACTGGCCTCGGCGTACTCCTCGCCGGCATCGCTGCTGCCGTAGTCCGCCGGGAAGCTCTCCTCGCCCAGATGATCGCCCAGGGAGCCCAGTGTGTCCTGCTCATGATGATCGTGATCGCCCCCGAATTCGTGGGAGGCCGAGCTGAAGTCCAGCTTGGACAGCGCCTCGCCGCCCGTCAAACCGCCGGCATAGTGACCCAGGAGACCCGCCGAGTGGACCACGCTGGAGGAGAGATCGTCGTCGCCCAGCGGATAGCTCTGGATGCCCAGCAGCAGCTGGGCCAGCAGGATCATCAGTTTCTGGCGGTAGGTGAACATAGTTGGGTTTTTAATATTTTTATTTTATTTCTGGACTTTTCCAAAGCCTTCTAACCGACGCCGCGAAATGTTTCGAGTCAACTAATTTACTGCTAGCAACTCCATTTGGTTTTATATGCTCCCGGCTCACTCACATTCGACCGCAAGTGCATGCCGCATTTTCCTGCATTTTCCACCGACTTTTACACACAGTCTTTTGTTTGGCAAAAAGTGAAAAATGGAAAATACAAAAAAAAAAAAATGTTGCAACGGACATCTGCCTCGCCGTTCGGCTGGAGCTGATAATTTGCTGCACTTACTCCGCATTACGTCGACGTCTAAGTGGCGGGGCCATTGAAAAGCCTGTTGCAACGGTGCGTATACGTAATAATTTTCTTCTTCTCTGTTATTTATTTTGGTTTGATTTTGGCCGTTCTTAGTTATTTGCTATCTGGCCCATTGCGTCACTTTCTGGCATCCCTGTGGGCCTTAACCCTCCGCCTGTTTGCACTCGAGGCGGAAGCCCACTTTTTTTGGCACAGCCCAACTAATTGGGTTTATCAACAGCAAATAGTGGAAGTAGAATGGCAAATATAAAGAGTCATTCACATATTCGAATATTCGAGTTATGTGGTGAGTTGTGTTCATTGTGCCAAGCGGACAAAAAGTGCAATTTACTCCTTGAAAAGCTTGAACTCTCGAGGAGGAAATATATTTATTTCACATTTTTCATTATCAAAGAAAAGTAATAGTTAAACAAATAAAACAAAATATTATATTAAAAGTCCTCTATATATTATCTGAATAGCCAAATATGGTTAAAAGATCATTTAATTATATGTCTTAATGTTATAATAGAAAATTAAAAATATTCATACAATTTACAAAAAATTTAACATTTTATTAAATAAAAAGTCCTTTATATATTATCTAAATGAGGTTTATATATACTTATAATTATATAAATCTTTATAATATATTAATATTACATCAGGCCATTTGTTAAGATATAGAGCAATCTAAATTGATTTCGATTTTACGAGAGTCTTGTCTGCAATTAAAAGCACAACGAGCCAACAGAGCGAATAGCCAGTATTTTCCAAAAACCCACAGCCCCGTGCGTCTGACACACTCACCCATATTCCCAACCCAACCAGATATAGATACCATATATATGGATATATATGGAGCACGAGTGCCTGGAAGATTGCAAAAGGTGGAAAATCGAAACAAAACAGCAACCGATGTACATATAAACATTTGTCTATTGTGCCCACCGTCAATACAGCGCGAAATGTGCGAATAAATTGCCAAAAATGAAAACGAAGAAGATCAGTCAATAACGAAGTTGAGGTTCTCTAACCTAAATTAATTATGAAAAAAACTATTACCCAAATTTGTTAAAATATCTTAAAGTCATTACTAATCCTTAAAACAATGTCTCAAAAATGCTCAAGATATAAAGAGTTTGTATAAAAATGTTTTACAAATTCTACTTAAACCTATATTCAAAGTAATTGAATAAAAATATTTTACTTCAGATTTTTAAGGGTTTAGGTTCATATTAAATTTTACTATTTCTAAAAAATGTCTTTAAGAGTAAAGAAGAAAATACAAAATATTTGAAGAATTAGTTTTTATCAACCAATTATAACAACTCACATAATTTGAATCGTAAATTGAATTGAAATAAAGTTTCTTTGGGAGCTAGTATATTTTCATAGTCGGCCAGTGTGATTAATTGGGCATTCATTGGATATTCATTTGGCCAACTGGACTCGCTCTTAGCGCTTCTGATTGCCGATGTTGCTAGTTGCTGGTTGCTAGTTGCTAGTTGCTAGTTGCTGATGGGTTGCGTGCCGGCAACATCAACGACGGCAGCAACACCACACAAATTACCAATGTAATAGCACCGCTTGTTTTGTGTTTAGGTTTTTGTTTCTCTGTTTTTCCGCCGATGGTGGGGGCGGCGAATGGTTGAGGATCGACTTGGGATCGGTTAATTGGGAGCGGAGCAAGGTGGTTATTAGATGGCTCGCTTTTCGCTTTTTTCGGCAAAGCCACATTTCCCAACGCAACAAATATTTGCTTTTAGCTCGAAAACTATTTGATTGCTACCTGGATTTTGCAAGCCCAGTAGTTCGTGAGGCTCGGACACGTGAATCGTGGGCGAATTCGTGGAGTCGTGTCTCAGAACCAGAGACATCTATATCTCGGGGGATCGTAAATTTCATTCGAAATGGCTAGAAAGAAATTTAGCGCAAGTTGCTTCTGGCCCACATATAAAAGGCTAGACATGACTGGGTTTTCTCCCAGTGTCTCTCGGATTATCATGTCTTTTTCGATTCTAGTGGTGCTGCTGGTGGTGCTGCCTATTAGGGCAGATTTAACAAAGGAATCCTCCATTCAGAGTGCTGAAACCACAGAGAAAATTTCTTTGGGCGTCAAAGAATTTACTTCTGAAAAGTCAGACGATACTACGAACCCAAAGATAATTATTTCTCAATTTATGGATATTTTGGGAAACGACAGCTCTGTGGCCCTGATTTTTCTGCGAAATAAGAGTTTCAATAAATCCACTACGGAAAAACAAATAGTCTTGGATTTTCTAAGGGCCCAGACTTGTAGGAATGGATTTTTTAACGAGCGCCCAGAGACAAACTCTGTGGCCAGTGGCGCCCTGAACTTGCGACAGCTACCGCCCTTGTATCAGGACCTGCTCCTGGACCGCCTGCAGGACCAGCTGCGCCAGCTGTTCATCGGCCTGCCCCTGGACATCGCCTTCTCCACCCTCAACTACATATGCAGCACGATTGTCGATCTCGGCGTGGTGAGGTCCAAGCTCATTCCCGATGTCTCGCGGCTGAGGTTCCTCCTGCGCACCGAGCACGAGTGCCAGAACACCAGCATTCCCCTCAAGCAGGCCGAGGAGCTGTGGGACACTCCCGGGTTTTACCAGGACAGACCGACGGTCCTGTACATCACCGGCTGGCGGACGAGCATCAACGATTCCAACAGCGGACCCGTGGCCAAGGCCTATGGATGTCGCAACGATACCAATGTTCTGGTGAGTCTAAATAGGGGGGAAAAGTAATACAAATATATGGGGTATAAGAAATTGGGATCTGGGTTTTTGGTAAAAATTTAAGTTTCTTCTTTTTGTATTTTTGCTATCACTTGGCCAAAAATGGTCCTACACCAAAAATACATACTGTTTTGAACAGATAACAAAATTTGCTATAAATCCATAAAACTTTCCGTGTAATTTTGGAAAAATAAAATTTTCGCCAATTTTTAATTTTTTTATAAGGGGGGTACCCCATGATTTTTTGCGAAAAATTAAAAATGAATAAATTGTCAAGGTTTAAATGCCAATCGTTAGGAAATTTAATAACGAGTTCAGAAAGGTATGACAATCCATACTTTGAATCAGTATTTGCTTTGTTATAGCGAAAAAACTGCTTCGTTGTAGCGAAAAAACGGGTTTGGTTTTTTTTTGGAAATTCGCGATTTCAGTTTTTGACAAAAATTGGAATTTTTTCTTTTGGTTTTTTTGCTGCAACTTGGCCAAAAATGGTCCTACACCAAAAATTCATACTGTTTTGAACAGATAACAAAATTTGCTATAAATCCATAAAACTTTCCGTGTAATTTTGGAAAAATAAAATTTTCGCCAATTTTTAATTTTTTTATAAGGGGGTACCCCATGATTTTTTGCGAAAAATTAAAAATGAATAAATTGTCAAGGTTTAAATGCCAATCGTTAGGAAATTTAATAACGAGTTCAGAAAGGTATGACAATCCATACTTTGAATCAGTATTTGCTTTGTTATAGCGAAAAAACTGCTTCGTTTTGGCGAAAAAACGGGTTTGGTTTTTTTTTGGAAATTCCCGATTTCAGTTTTTGACAAAAATTAGAATTTTTCTTTTGGTTTTTTTGCTGTAACTTGGCCAAAAATGGTCCTACACCAAAAATTCATACTGTTTCGAACAGATAACAAAATTTGCTATAAATCCATAAAACTTTCCGTGTAATTTTGGAAAAATAAAATTTTCGCCAATTTTTAATTTTTTTATAAGGGGGTACCCCATGATTTTTTGCGAAAAATTAAAAATGAATAAATTGTCAAGGTTTAAATGCCAATCGTTAGGAAATTTAATAACGAGTTCAGAAAGGTATGACAATCCATACTTTGAATCAGTATTTGCTTTGTTATAGCGAAAAAACTGCTTCGTTTTGGCGAAAAAACGGGTTTGGTTTTTTTTTGGAAATTCCCGATTTCAGTTTTTGACAAAAATTAGAATTTTTTCTTTTGGTTTTTTTGCTGTAACTTGGCCAAAAATGGTCCTACACCAAAAATGCATACTGTTTTGAACAGATAACAAAATTTGCTATAAATCCATAAAACTTTCCGTGTAATTTTGGAAAAATAAAATTTTCGCCAATTTTTAATTTTTTTATAAGGGGGTACCCCATGATTTTTTGCGAAAAATTAAAAATGAATAAATTGTCAAGGTTTAAATGCCAATCGTTAGGAAATTTAATAACGAGTTCAGAAAGGTATGACAATCCATACTTTGAATCAGTATTTGCTTTGTTATAGCGAAAAAACTGCTTCGTTTTGGCGAAAAAACGGGTTTGGTTTTTTTTTGGAAATTCCCGATTTCAGTTTTTGACAAAAATTTGAATTTTTTCTTTTGGTTTTTTTGCTGTAACTTGGCCAAAAATGGTCCTACACCAAAAATGCATACTGTTTTGAACAGATAACAAAATTTGCTATAAATCCATAAAACTTTCCGTGTAATTTTGGAAAAATAAAATTTTCGCCAATTTTTAATTTTTTTTATAAGGGGGTACCCCATGATTTTTTGCGAAAAATTAAAAATGAATAAATTGTCAAGGTTTAAATGCCAATCGTTAGGAAATTTAATAACGAGTTCAGAAAGGTATGACAATCCATACTTTGAATCAGTATTTGCTTTGTTATAGCGAAAAAACTGCTTCGTTTTGGCGAAAAAACGTTTTTGGTTTTTTTTTTGGAAATTCCCGATTTCAGTTTTTGACAAAAATTTGAATTTTTTCTTTTGGTTTTTTTGCTGTAACTTGGCCAAAAATGGTCCTACACCAAAAATGCATACTGTTTTGAACAGATAACAAAATTTGCTATAAATCCATAAAACTTTCCGTGTAATTTTGGAAAAATAAAATTTTCGCCAATTTTTAATTTTTTTATAAGGGGGTACCCCATGATTTTTTGCGAAAAATTAAAAATGAATAAATTGTCAAGGTTTAAATGCCAATCGTTAGGAAATTTAATAACGAGTTCAAAAAGGTATAACAATCCATACTTTGAATCAGTATTTGCTTTGTTATAGCGAAAAAACTGCTTCGTTTTGGCGAAAAAACGTTTTTGGTTTTTTTTTTGGAAATTCCCGATTTCAGTTTTTGACAAAAATTTGAATTTTTTCTTTTGGTTTTTTTGCTGTAACTTGGCCAAAAATGGTCCTACACCAAAAATGCATACTGTTTTGAACAGATAACAAAATTTGCTATAAATCCATAAAACTTTCCGTGTAATTTTGGAAAAATAAAATTTTCGCCAATTTTTAATTTTTTTATAAGGGGGTACCCCATGATTTTTTGCGAAAAATTAAAAATGAATAAATTGTCAAGGTTTAAATGCCAATCGTTAGGAAATTTAATAACGAGTTCAAAAAGGTATAACAATCTATATTTGTATCAATATTTCCATTGTTTCGACCAAAAAACGAATTAGTATTTTGGGGAAAATTCGCAATTTCGGTTTTTGTCAAAAATGGTAATTTTTTCTTTTTGTATATTTGCTATAACTTGGCCAAAAATGGTCCTAAACCAAAGATACAAACTGTTGAACAGATAACAAAATAATAAAAAAATCCATGACACTTTCAGGGTGGTCTTGGTAAAATACAATTTTAAGAACTGTCCTCATCATAGACATAACCAACTTCTATTTCTCAAGGTTCTGGATGCTGCCGACTTTGTGGACACCCTGTATACATGGTCGGCACTGAACACCGAGGTGATTGGAGCCAATCTGGCTAAGGCCCTGCTGCGGCTGAACGCCACCTATGTGACGAACCAGTTCCATTTGGTGGGCCACAGCCTGGGCGCCCAGATAGCTGGCTCGGCGGGAAGGAACTATCGACAGATGTCCGGGGGACTGACCCTGAAGAGGATAACCGGACTGGATCCGGCCAACCCCTGTTTCTACGACGGCAACGACTTGGAGGGACTGCGCAGCGGCGACGCCCGGTTCGTGGACATTATCCACTCGAATCCCGGCATGCTCGGCTCTTCGAAGCGGGCCGGCGATGCGGACTTCTTTGTCCAGGGGCGGATTCCCTTCAAGGAGGGCTGCGAGGGCCTCACCACCATCAGCTGCTCGCACCAGAGGGCCGTGGACTATTGGACGGAAACGGTCTATCCCTCGAACGAGAACGACTTTCTGGGCAGGCGATGTGATCGCTATGCGGAACTCCTGCTGGGCAGCTATTGTCGGGACACGAGGACCGTGATGGGCTATGCCGCCAAGCCCACGGAACTGGGACTCTTCTACGTGGCCGCCAATCGAGCGGAGCCCTACGGCCAGAATGCCAATCCGCAGACCTACACCTTCTCAACCAGCGAGTGCGGATCATGTGAATGAATTGATTAGAACAAATCGCGAAACTCAAAGAGTTATAATCTTTACTCGTTTTTGGGAGTGCAATCTAAAATTAAGAACGTTTGCTCATAAAAATGAGCTAAGAAAGAATGTTCTTAAATTGAGACAAAATGTTCTTGAATTTTATTCATTTATTTATTTAATTAATAAAAGTTTTATATATATCTCGTAAAAATAATACCTTAATTTATTTAAAATAATATGAAAATAATATATATTTTCAGAACCTTGGTTTCTAATTTATAGATATATAAAGACAATATTTTCAGTCTTATCTTAAAATGTAAATCACTTGTATAAACAATGTATACCAAACAAGCTAATTTTATTCCAAGACGATGAAAGATAACTCACAATTATTCGAGATCTACTGTGTGGCTTATCTCTCAATTGATAGGCAGTCCGTATACCTCAAGGGTTTTTTTCCCGATAAATTCAAGGACAAATCCCAGCCGAATCCCGCCCCTTCCCTTCTCCGGAGAATACATACATTTACTCCGTGATTTGTGTGAGAAATCGACGAACGCTGATGTCAACGCAGAGTTAATTCTTTTGTGACGTCTTTTTTCGTTTGGGGCCCACTAAAATTGTCCAGGGCACGTTGACGGAATGGCAATACAATGGCTTGGAGACCGGGAGTCGAGATCGGGGAATACGGAATGGGAAATAAGCGGTGAGCAATGGGCCCGCATTAATATGGCCATTATTATGGCCCTGTTGTCGTAACCGGCAGCAGCATTTGATGTTAAGTACGTGAGAATTAAGCTTGCACTGCGGGAATAATTTGTGGGGTTTGAGATTTGCATTATCATAGGTGGGAAATAATTATTTGATATTTAATTAAAAGTAAAAGTGTTTTTAAAAATATTATTTCCTTAATTTTTAATTACATTATCTATATATTAAATATGAGAGGATATTAAAATAACTTTATACCTCTATTTAATATAAATATTAAATAAATATTTAAATATAAAATGTGTTATTAAAATACAAAGAATAATTGAATAATTTTAGGAATAGCATTTCTATTCGATCTATAATTATTATCATTTTTATGATAATTATTTTTAAAAAAATGTATTTGTTTGATTTATTTTTTCTTCCTATTTTTGACTACAACTTTTTTCGCTGTGTACATTTTCATACACTACCGATGGCACGGGCCTTGCCAATTGGCTGAGAATTTTCGTTATAAGATTCACAGATTTTTGTGTACCATTATCAGTTACAGACGGCACGCGGCGATTAGAGGGATCAGCAAAGTGGGGAATTCCAAGACCTCCTGGTTTCGGTTCCGTCGTCTATTTTGGGCAGATTAAAACCAAAACACAATCTCTATTTTCGGCCTGTAAGAACCAATTGAATTAGAGGTCGTATTTCATGGCTGATAATAAATAGTAAATAAATGTAATAGGGTGTTTGGCCGACCGACTGGTTCTCCGGGCTGCATAATACGGGGCGTAATCTTTGCTTTGGTTTCTCGATTAGAATTAGAATTATAGTTAAAATTAAAATATATGCAGATGAGCTCGGGACATGCGACTGCAGTTTGCTAGGAGCCCGAGATTTCGATCTCGAATTTCTCAATTTCTCAATCTCTCGACGAGATGTTCCGAGGGCGACGGATCGAAATGGGAATGGAAATGGAAACTAATTAGGTGACAAGTGCACCTTATCTGATCGGAACACACATCGATATGGTCTCAGTTGAGTGGAATCGGAATCGGAATCATCTATAGACATATAGACATACGTAAAAGGCAATGTGTGTTTGTCGCTCGAGCCCCTCCCTCTGGAGGCTATAAAAGCAATTGTCACTTGGCTTCCGGCACTCAGTTCTCGTCGAGTTCTCGTCCAGGATGGGACGAACAGCGCTGAAGATGCTTCCGCTCCTCCTTCTCTCCATCCAGCTTCTGGTTGCCCCGATCCACTCCATCGAATGGTCACTGCCCGATGTTCTGGAGTCCGTCGGCAATGTGGGCGCCAGCATCGTGGATCCCAGCCTCCTGCCGACGCCCCAAGGTCTCCTCGATGGAAGCAAACAGCTCATCGCCGGATATCCCTTCGAGTTCGTCTCGAATTCCATCAGTGTCATCTGTGAGTATACTGTTTTTATTTTCTTTTTTTAATTTTTGTTATATTTTAAATAGTTATAATAATTAATTAGATAATATTTTAAATGCAGATTAGCTTTATAAGCACAAGTCCTGACATGTCCGGTTTTCCTGCTAACAAAATAAATCGATAAATTACAAATCGATCAATTATAAAAAGCAACCCTCTGAATTAAAGAACCCTAAATATTTTGTAGGCTCCCAGGCGCTGGCCTCGAACAAAATCAAATCGAAATACATGCCGGACATCAACCAGATGAACTTCCAGCTGCATTCGGCCTGCACCAGGACCAACTTCCCGCTCACCAATCCGGAGGCCATGTGGAAGAGTCCGCTGTTCGATCCCAAGAAGAAGGTCGTCATCCTGGCCACCGGCTGGACCACCACCGTCAACGGATCGGATACCATCGAGGTGTTCTCAAAGGCCTACAACTGTCGCGGCGATGCCAACTTTGTGGTGAGTACTGATTTGAATACGAGTAAAATGCAAGCCACGAAACAAGTTTGTCGTATAAATATTTATTACCAATAAGTCAACCAGCCGATAAGGTTTTAATCAGATTAGTTTCGTTTACAAACCGGTACAAACCATTAGCCCTGGATTTAATCTAAATGTTTTCCGTATTCTATTAAATGTAAATGTACTATTGGTTTAATCAATTTGACTTTAGGCTCTTTATTTTGTTTACATTAAATTAGAAATAAAAATATTTCAATTAATATCTATTGTTCTCAGTAATCAGCTTAAAATTATTTGCCAACTCCTTTGATAACAATACATTTGAGAGTCATGAATGATTCAATCAAAACAGAGAAATAACAAGTGCCAATACCAAATATAAACTAGTCCTACACTTGAAAAAAAAATGTTTTTATCATATTTGAATTATAGCTATTTATTCATAGAGGGAAAAAACAAAAATTTAAATTTAAATGAAAACTTACTGTATATAAGAAGTCCATTTAATGTAAGTGTTACTTCTGATAAAAAGTTTTTTAATATTTAATATTTCCCCTATAAAATCAGCAATTGAAATTTCTATTAAACTTGAAATGTCTTATTTTTAGAAGAAATATTTGTGAAATAGTTGAAAATACCCTGTAATTAAGGGTGGTGGATTTTTGTTGCATAATATATAAAAGGCAAAGATGAATAAAAAAGTTTATTTATACTTTATGTTTCTCCTATAAAATAAGCAGTAAAATTTTTATAAAAGGTTAAATATTATATATCATATATCTTATTAAAAATACCCTCTAATTGCAGGCAGTGGACGCAGCCCGCTTCGTGGACACCCTGTACACGTGGTCGGCGTTCAACACGGAGGAGATCGGTGAGAACATAGCCCTGGGACTGGTGAAGCTGCTGGATCTGGTGCCGGCGGAGAACATCCACCTGATCGGTCACAGTCTGGGCGCCCACATCGTGGGCTCCGCCGGACGGCACCTACACCGCCTGACCAACCAGACGGTGGCCAGGATCACGGGACTGGATCCCGCCAAGCCCTGCTTCAACGAGGGCGAGGTGCTATCGGGGCTGATGCGCGGCGATGGCCGCTTCGTGGACGTGATCCACTCGAATCCCGGCGTGCTGGGCAAGCGGTCGCCGGTGGGCGACGTGGACTTCTATCCGGGCGGAATGGGACCCCTGCCCGCCGGCTGCTTCTCGGTGACCTGCGCCCATGCCCGCGCCTGGCAGTACTTCGCCGAGACCATCTATCCCGGCAACGAGCGCAACTTCCTGGCCATTCGCTGCAGCTCAATGTCCCGTTTAAGGGAACTCCGCTGTCCCGGCGGCGAGGTGCCCATGGGCTACGAGGTGCCCTCGCATGTCAAGGGCAACTACTTCCTGGAGGTCAGCGGCAGTTCGCCCTACGGCGCCCACGCCTCCATTGTGCGGGAGGCCCACATGGAGCAGTGCGGCAAGTGCCCCGACTCCCCGACGACCACCGAGTTGCCCGCCAGCACAGAGAAATCGCGATCTTGGTTCTGAGGAGCAACCATCATATCCTAAGCTAGTTTTATATATTTTTTTCATTATTTTCTGTTTCTGTTTTCGTTTGCTGGTTGGGCAATATACAATTTGCCTTCTCAGCGTTGACAATTCAATTAAATTTGTGTTTATTATGCTTATGCTAAGCCCAAAATGCGACAGGCGGCGGCTCACGAAGTTGCAATACGCTTTGCATGTGATACCGATGATTACATAAATAAATGATGTACTTATGCAAATAAACCAATTGAATATTATTCTATTAATTTTTAAGAATATTTCGTATTTTTTTTTATTTAAATGTAGTTGTTTATGTTTTTGGCAAGACATTTAAAATTTGTTTAAAGTCCTTACATTTGCTTGCTCATTTCTAAATTATTTCGAAGTATTATTTATTACAAAACTAATAATAAAATTAATCCCAAGTTGCATATCCTTATTTTTATGCTTTGAATGCTTTCAAAAATGTAAGAAATTTACAGCATAAAAAGGTAAATTTTTTATGTAACATTATGTAATTAGAGTAAAATTCCTCTTTTAAATCTTAAGTTGTAATAAAAATTTGTATAATCACTTTATATATATTTCCGATAAAGTATGGTCACAAATTCCTGGCTAAACCGTAATACCCCTTGAGAGAAGTCCGAAAGATAAATAACCTGTGGAAAAGAGGCCGCTGTGTCGCCAGTGCAATGCCACAAGCTTATGATTGTTGACTGTTGACTGGAGTTGGCTCTCTGGCTTTCTGGCTTTTATGTTGACTACTTATTACCCGAGTGGCGCCCAGGCACAGTGGGAAATTGGCAGTGGAATTGGATGTCACCTGGTTTGGGTCCAGATGAGTTTCGTGTTTTATGGACAACTAAGGTCAATCAGTTGGTGAATGTTGTTCGGAGGCTGGGGATTCAAGCGGTGATTTCATCTCGCTGGGATCGATGATGATATATGCCTTTCTAGAGGGGCTCTTTAATGGCCTAGATGTCCTAGATGGATTTGCATCTTTATGACTGGAAAGTTGACTTTTGAACGAGGTTAATTGGTTATTAAGAACGATTCGCTTTGCTCTATAAACTAGTTGTTTATAGGCCCAGTTATTGCATTTATTTTTAGTTAATATTTAAACCTTCACTTAGACATTGAGTGGGGCTTTCCCATGTCCTTCGGCTGACTGTCACGATCAGGAAATGCCATCGCCGAGATCCAGTTACAAACCTTTCGTTGCAAACCCATCTCCCCACTGTGCCACTCGGTTTTCAGTTTTCAGTTTTGAGTTTTGAGTTTTTTGGCCCCTTCACCTGGGATCTGCATCTGCATCTCCATCTTTATTACTATGTAGCTAGCTGCAAGTGTCTCCGTTTGCGGCTTAAGCTGCCAGTTTGACAAATGACTCACCCGACGCCAGCTTCTTGGCACGATCCCACCTCTTTTCCCGCACTTCTTGCGGCTTAAGCCAAAAGCTTACGAGTGCACTGAGAAAAAGTGGTGGAAATGGATTAAAAACGGTGTAAAATTATTTTTTCAAATATTTCTTTTGTATAAAATAAGATATTACACTTAAAAATACGAAAAAAATAATTGTAAGTATAATTAAAATATTTGAATTTTAATTTATTGTTGACCTTAGAGTGGACCGGATTTTTTGCAAACTTGATTTAAAAAAGATATATTAAATAGGCAAAAAAATATTTAAGTTATTTAATTAAACTGAAAAAGTATTTATTGCGTTTTTTTTTTGAAATTAATGGTTTAATGTTATATTAAAATGGATGAAAATCACTTACAAATTATTTTATGAAACTTAAAGCTAAAAAATAACCTTTTCGACCTTAGATTCCGGAATTAATATTTCCAAATCTAGAATCTTTAGTTAGGGGTTACATCAGGTTTTATGTCCATAAAAAAGGCAGTCCAGTTAGACGGCGCAAATTTGTGAGGAGTGAATCAAAATGAATCAAGTCAAGACTCATTTCCTATAAACCAAGAAGCCAGGCAAATAGAGCGTAAATCAAAGCTTAAACAGATAGTGCACTTATGTCAGCCCACTTAGATTACTTTGTATTCGGTGCAAATGTCAGAGTGCAACCTTTCTCGCAGTGTAGCTCCGCTGCAGTTTCCGCCAGCAGCGAGGCGATGCGAGGAAATGATCCATCAAGCGTGTGAGTTATGTACGAATTTTGCAACCTGGCCACATGGTTGGCTGACTCGATGGCTTCTGCCCGCAAAGCGGTTGACCCTGGTCAAGAATCGGACGCTCAAAGTGGTTTAATAAACTGAAAATGAAACTGCAATTACCTGACCGACCTGGCCCAGCCACCCGCCGTTGGCCGGAGATTTATTTTGTGGATTCTCGACCAGATTAGTCTGGGCCACGCAGTTTGCGATAAATAGCGAGTGGCTATCCACTGGTTACAGCATTCGAGTGCCACACTTCGAGACGCACAGCGAGATAAGAAAAGAAATCCCAGAAAATCCAATCCAGGATCCACTCACCGAGTCAGGACTTCAAGTTAAAGAATCCAAAATGAAGGTGTTCATCGCACTCTGCGCCCTGGTGGCCTGCGTTTCGGCCGGAATTGTGCGATCCTCGGGCTGGGGATCGAGTCCTTGGGGCGGCAGCAGCAGTTCGGGATGGAATAGTGGCTGGACCGTCCAGCAGCCGCAGGTCATCAAGGTCATCAAAGTGGGAGGTGGCAACTCTGGATGGGGAGGTGGCAACTCTGGATGGGGAGGTGGAAACTCTGGATGGGGTGGCAACTCTGGATGGGGTGGAAACTCTGGATGGAGAGTCGGCAACTCTGGTTGGGGAGGCAACTCCGGATGGGGAGGTAGCAACTCTGGCTGGAGCAACGGCAACTCTGGATGGTCCAGTTCCGGCTCCAATAGTGGCTGGTGGTAAAGGATCTTCCTCTCTAGCAGTTCCAACCCAACCCCAATCCTCCCGTTCCCTCTTCCCAGCTCCCCTCCCTTTCTCCCTGCACCTGGTTCACTATTCACGATTTTGTAACATAGCCTTTAAGTACCTTTTTTTTGTGTAACAAATAAATAAATGAGCAAATCGAATGCATTAATTCAACGATGCTGCGTGTTATCGCCAACTAACTTAGCATTTTTATGATGCATCTTTGAATTATGGATCGTTAGCAATTAACATTCTAAGCTTCAAAACCGAGTCGATCTTGCTGGGCAATTATTTATATTTTATGCATTTTGCAAATGATTGTGGAACAGCGTTGTGGTGGCCAAGGTGCCGATGCGATTGGAGTTCATCGGATGATTATGATCATCATCATCCCGAGGCGGAGGCACTGTGGTTTTAATTTAAAAGTCACATAAAATTAAATTAAATTTTATATCTATTTTTTAAAGCTTTTTTAAATGCCATGACTGTACTTTGGTTTGTCCAGCCTTTATTATTTTTTAGTAATTCAATTATCAATTTATTTATACATTGTAGATTTATTGTTACATTTTTATATAGTGTTTTGTAAAGTATTTTCATTTATACAGTGTTTAAAAACAAATCCTTTTAAATACTTTTTTTCAATTGAAAGCTATCATTCAATTGAAAGAAGAATCCATGGAGGACCTACCCATTTACCACTGTGTGCAGACAATTTTCTTGGGCTCCATTGAGGTCGTCTTGTGGGTAAGACCCCCTAGTAAACATATGTGAGGCTGCAGCACGCGTTGGCAGCCAAGAGAAGCATTAAAGCTGTGTGGCCAGCACATTCACAGCCAAGTCGATGAAATTTATGGTAAGTAATGCACTTGAGCATGCACCTAGCCATGTTTGCACGCCAATTGACATTGAACCAGTGTCTGCGGAGTCGTGTCTCGTACATTTAGCGATTCAATTGCGGCTGCTGTATAAATGAAGATTAATTGCCGCAAATATTGCATGGCAATAGCGCGAAACGAAGCCGAAATTGAGCATAAATGCGAAATGAAAATAATGGGAGAATCGCTGCTTTAGTGATCACCCTTTAGATGCTCTGCGGCATAGGAAAATTCGCATGCTATGCTAGGAAATTAATTGGAGAAAGTCTTAAGATTTAAATTAAGCAAAAATTATTTAATACAAAAAATACCAACTTTTTAATATTTTTTAAAATAAAACAAAATGCCATAAGTTCACAAAAAACCGATAAATATGTACCATTAATTCCATAATTTACTTTGCCTCGCCAAGCGGCAAGACTTGAAAATTCTTGGAAAAAATAATTAAGAAAAATTCAACAACAAATTGCATGGCCGGCAGAAAAAAGAAAAAATATGCTTAGAATTTCGCATGGAAATAGTAAACTTGTAAGACAAATTGCAAGGCGTTTCGTGGCCAAATGTGCTATTCGCTGGCAATTAATGATGCAGCCATGGCTCAGCAGTTTGCAAGTGGTGCGCTGTAGCAGTGGCGTATACGCGATGTTCCCAGCACAGCGCACATTGCGTATCCGCCGAGTGCGCCCCGGCGTACTTGAGACTGTTTTTTTGAGGCAGACAAGCTGCTAGCCAAGTCGCATTGTGCCGACATGAAGTGCAGTTCTCAGTTCTGAGTTCTCAACCTTCCTTTGGGAGCTTGGCTGGCTTGGCTGGAGTTTTGAGTTCGGAGGGATGGAATGGCAAGCTGCTGACTCAGCCGAAGTTTCCGCCTTTTGGGGGCTATAAAAACATGCCTCGGTTCTGGGTTAGTTCATCAGTGGTGTTGAGCCTCCAGCAGCGATTGGATTGTTCAGAGTTTCGGTTCTAAGTTCTTATTTTTTTGTTCTATATTTTTTTGAGTGATCCTTGAGGATGCGTCACGCGGTTATCCTTGTTTTTGTGTGCGGTCTCTTGATCGCCTTCGCCTCAGCCGGTTTGCTGGGCGGGGGAGGCGGTGGTGGTGGTGGCTACGGCGGTGGTGGCAGTGGTGGAGGTGGTGGCTACGGTAGTGGAGGCGGTCAAGGTGGCTGGCAGAAGAACGGAGGAGGAGGCGGCGGTGGCGGCCAGGGAGGCTACGGCGGCGGTAACCAAGGTAAGTTGATTTTTCTCATGATATGTAACTTATTGATGAGGTACTAAATGATAAATAGGTGCAAGATTTTTTGTATCCTAAATTGGGGCCTATTGTAGGTTTATCATACATAGTTCTTTATTAATTAAATCTATTTAAAAAATACTAATCTTAATAAATTCGACCCTATTATTATATATCCTACACCCAAAAAAAAATCTATATGAAACGGAGATCGATTTTACATTATTTAAGGTCAATTTTAATTTGATATGAGGCCAGGCTAGTTTGACCCGGTCGAAAAGAGTATTTCATGTAAAAACGATATGGGTTTTACATGACTTGAAATTTACATTATATTTTTTTTGGTAATCCTTACTAGACCACTTTATAAAGCATAAAATGTATAAGTTTTGAAAAAGATATAAATTATCTAGAATATCTAATATTTAGCCATTGAAAAATATTTTTTAACGTACAACGAAGGGAAATCTATAAGTTGGTAGGCAGAAGAGAGGAAATACCTCCAATTTGGAATAATATATTCATCAGGTTGCTTACATTGGTACTTATATTTTATATATATTTCCTTCTCCTTTAGGTGGACATGGAGGCGGCGGCCATGGAGGCGGCGGCCATGGAGGCGGTGGCCATGGAGGCGGTGGCCAGGGAGGCTGGCAGAAGAACGGAGGAGGCGGCGGTGGCGGCGGTCATGGGGGTGGTGGCCATGGACAAGGAGGATATGGAGGCGGCAACCAAGGTACTTGAATATTCAAAGGAATTACCTTGGATTTAGTAAATAAAACTCTTGCTATTTCCAGGTGGCTATGGACAGGGAGGTGGCCACGGAGGCGGCAGCAAGTCTTTGGCCGGCAACCGCGGCAGTTCCGTTTCCTGGCAGGGCGGAAATGGAGGCGGCAACAAGCACGGAGGCGGCGGAGGAGGCGGTGGCCTCTACGGCGGCGGTGGCGGTGGCGGCGGAGGTGGAAAGCACCACGGAGGTGGTTGGTAATTCGCCAAATGCAGCTAATCACCCCCCGGCTCGTGCTGACTTCATATTGTGTTCCATGGCATAGAGATAGAGATAGAGACAACCCCCTGGATCCTCCTGCTTTCTTTCTATATCCAAAGCCCTTTCCGCTTTTACTATTTGTTGTACTAATAAAAATATTTTATGCATTTTGTAAATCTTTTGGTTTTTCTTCTTTTGAATTAAGGGGTTATATACCTTTTTTTTTTCAAAAAAACGAAATTTTTTTTTTTTGCTGAATCTTAAAGTATATCCCCTAGAGAACATCTTCCCAAATTTTCATACAGATCCGAATAATAGTTCGATAGGAAAACAGCGTTTTGACGCGCTCGACTTCAATAGTTGCAACGTCAACGTAAAACTTTGAATGCGATTATCTCAAAGTCGTGTTTTTCCAAAAGTGCCTTCGCTGTGACCACGATTGCGCAAGAACTATTTGATCGATCTTCTTCAATAGTTTTTTAAATTATTCGTAATGATTGTGCCGAGTTCGTGAACGATTCAGTTTTTATGCGCCAATTTTAATTTCGCAGATCAGAATTTTTTAATAAAATTTTTAGAACTTGAAAAATCAACTTTTTGGAATAATTGTTACTGTATGCAGAAAAAAGGAAATATTCTTAAAAGTAATCGTTCACGAACTGGAAATAATACTATTCTAACTAAAAATTTTTGGTTTTTTGATATCAGTTGACCTGCTAGACTTCCATCGTGGTCACCGCAAGCCGCTATAAAAAAAAAATTGTTCCGAAAGAATTGCCATAACTTCGTAAATTATTCATATTCTTTCAAGAACAAAGGCTTGTTGTTTCGATAAAAGCATGTACTATCAATAAATAATAACTTCCCTGTCATAAAATAATTGCTACACACCAAAAAAAAATCCAAAGTTCCCTCAATTTTTTCGCTCAAAAAAGGTATATAACCCCTTAAATAATATTCAAAGTTTAATGTCGCTGGGATTACGGAATTATTTTACTAAATATTACTAAATACTAAAGTAAATACCTGAAACTGTGGTTTCATAAAAATATTTAATAATAAATACATAAATTAATAATAATAAAAGTGTTAATTTTGAAATGTTCTTATTAGATACTTAAATTGAAAAATAAACCACTTTAGATTGAAGATGAAGGTATGTTTAACTAGATGATTTTAACAATTATTTCACTAAAAGTAGTAGGGAAGAGGATATAAATACTATTAAAGTTAGTACACTGGAAACATTTTACTGCTTTGCGAAAAGAATATTCTCAGAAATAAAATGTAAAACATATACCTCTTTGATTTTTGGACCAGAATTTTGAAAATATAATTTTGAATAATTTAAAATAAAGTTTAAGATAAGAAAAAATCACTTACCTTTAACATTTAAGAAAATACACGATTAAAAATTCTTTTTCGTAAGATTTATTCACATATTTAGGTGCACAAAAAAAAAAGAGTTTGATTAAGTTTAGGGCAGAGAAATGTTATATACAAGTTGAGCAGTGGATTTCGTTATAGCCTCGTCGCCGGATTGCCTCGGTTGGATTTCGTCGCGTGTCCTGGTGTTAAGGATCTGTTTACCAGCTCCAGCCGCCTCCGCCACCGCTGCTCTTCCAGCCTCCTCCGCTGCCTCCTCCAGAGGACCAGCCTCCTCCGCCGCCTCCAGAGGACCAACCGCTGCTGATCTTGCTGGGCCAGGCGGATGAGCCTCCTCCGCCGCCGGAGGACCAACCACTCGAGCCACCGCCGCTCTTCCAGCCACCGCCTCCGGAGCCACCAGATGACCAGCCACCGCCTCCACCACCGCCGCTCTTCCAACCGCTGCTCAGGCTACTCAGAGCCTGGGATTTCCAGCCGGAGAGACTGGACAGGGCACTCGGGCACTCGATAGTCCTGAACTGCCGCCGGACTTCCAGCCGGTGGAGGAGCTGCTTGGCCAGCCAGAGGAACCGCCGCTGGACCAACCACCTGAGCCACCGCCGCTCTTCCAGCCGCCGCCTCCTGAGCCACCGGATGACCAGCCGCCGCCTCCGCCGCTTTTCCAGCCTCCTCCGCCGCCGCCAGAGGACCAACCACCTCCGCCGCCGCCTCCGCTGGAGGGCCAGGCACTGATGATGACCTTGCTGCCGCCTCCTCCGCCGGAGGACCAGCCACCTCCTCCTCCACCACCGCTGCTCCAGCCATGTGGCTTGCTTTGGGCCACCAGGCTGCCCAGCACCACCAGCAGACCAAGAAGTCCGAGTCGTCGCGTTGTCATCGTGGCTTGCATCTCCGCAACTGCCGTGCACTAACTAATGCCCCACTGCAGCCACTCTCGGGTATTTATACCCATCCAAGATTCTGAGCAAGTGAGTTGCCGAGTTACTGAGTTACTGAGCCACTGAGCCACCGAACCACAGCCGCTGCCTCGTATAATCAGATGTAATTGCCAAAAGTGCTTACAATGGCCAGTGGCTGGGTGCTTCGGGGCTCCGAGTGGTGCGGAGTGGTTCGGAGTGGCTCAACCTCAGCACTTGGGCCTCATGCCTCATTATGCCAACTCCCCAGACTGTCGTAGTCGACTTTCGATTTCGTACGCCTTTGTGGACGCACGTAGGTCGGCTGTTCTCCAGCTGGAGCACCTGACTTACTTTACAGGAAACACTGGTCTGCAAATGAGCTTCAGGATTAAGGATAATGGATATAATCTATGGAAGAGCTGGGAATGAAAATGGGACAAAATAAAAAATTACTAAAAATTATAAATTAAAAAACAAATAATTTGCTTTAATCATTTTGTATCGTAAGTAAAAATAAATAATAATATTTTGTGTAAATTTAAGGCCCTGATTTATACCAATTAAATGGTCTTAAAAAACGGCACAATGCTCCTGCAGCCTAAACGGCTAGGCTTAAAATTCTAAAAACAAAACAGAAATTCGGAAATATTTAGTTTTAATTAATTTATATTTTGCTACAATTTAATCAACGATTAAAAAAAATAATAATAATCTAAAAATGTACCCATAAAATAGGCCTTTAAATATTACAACATTTGGCAATGAAAAAAATATCATAAATATTTATTATAATTTATATTATTTTTTTGTAGGCTAGTGCAGCCCAGAAAAGCCGATCATCGATCTATTGGCTCTCCATTTTTATGTGGCAACCGCAAAGTACTTAATTGAGTTCGCCTGCCGGCGGTTGGATGGAAAGATATAGGGGAGCAAGGGATCCAGAAATCTGGCGATTGGTTCTTTATGCCTGCCCATTATTCAGAATGGCGATGGTGATGGCGATACAGATGGAATTGGTAATGGAATCGCAGATGGCAGATTGCAGATTGCAGGTGGAGGTGTGCGAAGGTAATGGTATCCATGGTTATTTAGATGGAGCTGCGTGTTTGTCTACTTGTATTTTTGGCTACCGTGCTGCGGTTGCACATAATTCGTGCTGTCTGGCAAATCGGGTCGCCGGCAGATCAATCAATCAATCGAATCAATCGGTGGCCCGGGTCCAATTGTTCTGTTCGGTTCGGTTCGGTTCGTTTCGGGTGCAACTTATGAGTTGACACAGAACCCATCAGAGGAGATTGAAGGTGTCTCAGCCGATGTTTTGTATTTTCTAAATTGCTCTTCTAAAGATACAGTTCATTGCCTTGGGGCCAACAGTTTTGCGATTTCATCACTTACATAATTTAAAGCAAGAAACGAAACTGAAGTTTAAATACCCTTCTTATTTTATGACAGAATATATTTTTGGAATATATTTTAAAAATCCAAAAATCTATAATAACCTTTAACCCATTTCTATTGATAAATACCAGAGGAAAAATCCCATTTTAGAACCGAATTTATTCACGTAAATTAATCTCGAAGAACGAAGAATAGAATGAATATTTTTGTAAAAATTAAAAACGGCCTATCTTGTCCCAAAATGCTAATTATACACGTTCGATCGGCCAATTCTAGAACCGAACCACTAGAAACCTTTTGGCTTTTGCACGTTTCCACCGCTGGCCGCATTTTAATTCATGGGCGGCATAAAAATCAAATTTGGATCTTTTGTGCGATCAACGGGGCAATCGATCGTTTTTTCGACGGGATGATCGATCGTCAAGCGGGGGAAAACAATAAAATGCTTTTTCGTTGCGCAAGTGAAAAACCAAGAAAATGTCGAAAAGCCAACTAAGTACCTGTCCCATTACCGTTTCCATTTCGACTGGCAGGTGATGACCTCAACCGTTTTGGCTGGGTTCCATTGGGTCAGAGAGTCAGAGCAGGAAACTAAAATCGAAAATCGAAAAACTTGCAAACCAGTTCCCCTCTTGATAACAAAAACACTTAATTAAAAATGGAAATTCTTTTTTTGTATATTGCATAAATTCTAACAAACAAAATACCGCTAAAAAGTATAAAAAAAAAATATATCTATATTTAGGTTTGAACTATTTGTGGTTGGTTCCTGGGACTTGGAGCTCTCTACCAGCCCTTGTTCCAGCCGCCGGAGGACTGAGCACCGCCGGAGGACCAGCCTCCAGACTGGGCGCCACCATTGGAGTAGCCACCACCGCTGGAGTAGCCACCGGAGTAGCCACCGGATTGACCGCCGGAGTAGCCCTCGCTGATGACCTTCACAATGACCACCTTCTCGACGGGCCTGGGAGCAGGAGCAGAGTATCCACCGCCGCCGCCGGAGTATCCACCGCCGCCGGAGTATCCACCGCCGTTGGAGTAGCCACCGGAGTAGCCACCACCGCCTCCTCCACCGCCACCGCCGAGCTTTCCGCCGAGACCGCCGCTCAGACCGCCCAGGCCGCCGCCCAGCCCTCCGCCGAGACCGCCCAGCTTGCTCTGCAGCAGCTGTCCAATGCCTCCAATGGAGCCACCGCCTCCGCCGCCACCACCGCCGCCGCCGCCAAGAAGACCGCCCAGAGAGGCCTGGCCAACGGACAGGAGGGCGGCTAGGATCACCAGGATGCAGGCAAAGGGTTTCATCTCGAGCAGCGAATGGGATGGGTAACAATCGGTTTCGAACAGCTGACCAAACTAATTTCAACGACCGCCGGCACACGCACCTTTATACCCCCGAAAATCGATGGATCGATTTAATTAGAAGCCATTGATGATGAGCAGCAAACAGCAAGCAGCATCCATCGGTTCGGCTGCGATTTCATAATAACCCACATTCGGTTATGCTCAGTTCGGTTCTATTGTTTGCCTATGCTAATCTGTGCGCATGCGCGGCTTACTTCGGTTTACTTCGGATGAGGAACCGCTTCTCCGCCACTTGGCACAGTGGGATGGGAGGTGTTAACTGTCTTTGGTCGGGGGAGTTGGGAAATCTGATGATCTGATGGTCTGAGGAAAATGAAAACATTATCCAAGTGGTGATGAGAAGTGCACATATTTTGGTTTGTATTAAAAAGGTTTCACGGACATAGCTCTGCCTTTTTGGGTTTATATTTATGAATAGTTATCTTTTAATTATTGCTAAAATTTATAAATCATTTTATATATTAATATATATTTAACAAATAAATCATGTTAAATTTAAATATAAGTAACTTGCCAGTTTTAGTGTTCATTTTACCAATATAAAGTCATTTTAAATATTTATACAGCTTTGTATACTTTTTATTATTTTTAATTTATATTTTCATAATTTATTATGATTTGACTTAATTTATTGGGTAAAATTCATAAATGTTTGCCATAATAATAGAGTTTCACCTGGCGCCCTTTACATCTGAAGATGTATTTATTTCAAAAACCGATTTTGACTTGAGGGTTTTATTTTCTTACATTTTTAAATAATGAGTGCTACAGTTTATCATACTTTGGCCAAGTAAAAAAAGATTCATAAGAATTAATTAGTTTAGTTTATTTGGCAAAAATCTATCCAAACCACTGTGCCAATCGCCGAAAGCCAAACAAATTATCAGCATTTAATCACCGCGTTTGGCGGCGGCCAACAATGGGCCGAAAATCAACATTTATATCAATGTTTTGTCAGTTGGCCAGCAGAAGCAGAAGCTGAAGTGTCAAACTGATGAATGGCCAAACTCGTGAGTTCTGCTCCAAGGTCCCAAGTTTGAAGTGGGGAAAACTGAGGCATCTTCCTGCTTTGGCAAGAACCTTTGTTGACTCGGAATCGCTGGGAGGCCTATTTAAGTGGGTATTTGTATACTGAACACCCATATCCATAGCCCACATCATCGCTTATTAATACTCGATAGGAGGGGGGTTAACCGGTTCGGCGATTCTATTTCTATGCTTCAGTTTGGCATATATTTGCATAGTCGCTCGGCGGATATGGCAGATTGCCTGGGAATTTTCGCCAGCCCTCCAGTTGTCTAGTTTTCTGGTTGTCTAGTTGTCTAGTTGTCGGTACTAACCCGAAAGATAAACACTTTGCAGAGAACTCTCCCACAATTCTGCCGGGGTTCAATGCACTCGGGGACCAAGCACACGCATCGGATATTGGATAAAATATGATCTACACGAAAAGAGTGGAGAGTTTCGGCTTCTTTTTTTTGCAAGTTTGTTTGAGGCTTTGGCATTTACATACTCGTTCTGGGGTCTATGCATATTCATAATCGCATTATTCGATACTTCGATACTTTGATACTTCGAGCTGTAAGCTACCGAAGCGACGACAGATCGACAGCATTCAATGGGCTATGGACTTATCAATTAAGTGGAAAACACGTTGTCAGAGCACAAAGAAGTGGTCTTAAAGTGCTCTTCTCGGCTTTAAAAAGTATGAGTAATGGATCTTTGATCTTGGGAAATATCAATATTGATTGGATTTCCTCATTACCAATTTATTGACTTTATAAAAAAGGGTAATACATAAAGAATTATGTACATGACTTTATAAGCAATATGATTATTAAAAAATATTTTAATTCATAGAATTATATTAACAACAAGTAACTTATCGTTTTGACAAGAACTATGAATATATTCTAATCATCTTAAATAAAGGAGTTAAGAGAGTTTCCATTGTTGAGTCAAGAGGCCAATACGAATATCTCACTATACGCAGCTTAGATCCGACTTACAATAGCGGCTATATTACCGGGCTGTAATGGCCGAACCCACAAAACTATTTCCCATCGCTTCGCCTTCGGGCAGCTGAAGGCTTCCATTAAAAAACAACAGAATTAACATATTTAATTGCGAGTTATGTACCCAAATGAAATTACCAGTGCAATAGCAAACACAAAGGCAAATATGAATAGAAACCGAAACCGAAATCGTAAACGGAGACCGAGACCAAAAAGTGAATGGAATAGCATTAATGTTTGTAGGAGAACTTTGGGTAGAGTCATCCTCTCGTGGATGGGAGATTGATGACACTCGTAAATAAGTTGGTAATATGTAATGATAATAACTAATATTGTGATGGTGCCGACGTTAATTCAATTCTAACTACGAATTTGCAACCTTGCACATTTGCCTTTTTATGGGAAATCCCGCAGACACATAAATAACCATCGCACATCGCTCCTACTTATAAGTATATATTCTACATACATGATTGGATCATCTGATCATCTTGGGGTCGAGATCTCGTACATATGCAAAAGGCTAATTAATGGCAGGCAGGTCCACATAAATATAAGCTAATTACACTGCCTTGCCAGATCATCGTCGTAAAACATCGATAGTTAATGGCGGGCTAACCGATTGCATTCTCCCATCAATCGCTTAAATCCGCTTAGGGCTCATAAAATCGAGGATGGAATCATCCCACTATGACAGTTTTATAACAGGAAAAATCAAGGCTTTGCTGGAACTATTTATCTATCTATTTGGTATATCTAAATCTAAATAATATTATCTGAAAATTATTATTATTATTTAATTTATTTGAGCATTAAGTTTACTTTAATTGAGGAAGTACTTGATGTGTAAGTGCCATTAAAGCAGTTGAATGCTTCGTCCACCGATTAAAATGCCCAAGGCACTAAGAATATAAAATGTAGCATTAATTATTTTTTTCTTTTTCAGTTCCATTGACCAAATTAGTTGCAAATAAATTTCCAAATCAAAGACACGCCGGCTAATCTTTAAAATGTGCATCAAGAGCTAGGCAAATAACTACGAAAACCAGTTGAGCAAAATGCAAAAACCAAAACAGGTTGGCACACACGCACGCATAATTTGCCCAGATCGTTGTAAATAAAAGTGAGATGACCGATGCCCGTTTGTTTATAAACAAATAGGCGAATCGTAATGCGTTTGTTCAAGGCTCCCTGGCAACCGAAAACCACCGATAAACCGAAAAACACAAAGCCAAAAACACATGGCACATGGCGAACTCAGTCGAGACTCGTCGACGCCGCAACTTCATCATTATCGAATCAAAGACAATGGTGGGCAAAGAAAATCGGATTCGGCGGATTCGGATTCAAAGTCAAACAACGATTGCCAGCGGAAGTAAAACAAAACGAAATAGACAGAAAATACACAGAAAATACATAGAAAATACACAAAAACTGAAAAGCAAAGAAACTGATATTCGTATAAATCAATGACAGCCAATAAACTGTTTAACTTCATGTTAAGTTGATGTTTAATGGGCCGGTGTCAAGGATTTGCATTACCACACCTCAGGTTTCTCTTCCTGACCTTACAAATAAGCGGTCTATTATGATCTATGCGAAATCCTTTGAAGTTTCTCTCCCTTTTTCGTAACTCTTTTCCCTGAATTAACTTTCGCCTTCGGTGGCAACGGCTGGAAATGACCTTGAACTTCAATAATACAGTCACCTCGCAAGGGCAGGGCGCACAGCAAAAAGCAAAGTTTTAAACTGGTTTCTGCCAGCAAACGAAAGACTTAGGCAACGAACTTGGACACAGCGCCATCTGGCGCTCGAGATATGGAAGCTTGCAGCGTGAAAAAGCTGTACGCAGTACACTTAAAGATTAAGATAAATGCGAGTTATAAAATAGAATTTTACAATTTGTTTTTAATTTTTGACAATTTTTAATTTTTTTAGAAGGGGGTACCGCATGATTTTTTTCGAAAAATTTAACATTTTTTTGGTGTAACTTGGCCAAAAATTGACTGGATGAAATCAGCTGATCATACGAAACTGAACCCTCTGATCAATTCTTTGGTTCCCAAGAATACCATTGCTTTGGTCAACGAAGTAGAGGGATTGTTCTTCAATCGCAAGACCATCAAACGCAATCACGAAGGCCAATTCTCCGCAGTGATGACCATCAAAGATGTACGAAGGACAGGGAGTACATGTCCTTATACATGTAGTCCCTGTCATTCGCACATCTTTGAGTTGATGGTCATCACGGCGGAGAATTGGCCTTCCTGATTGCGTTTTATGGTCTTGCGATTGATGAACAATCCCTCTACTTCCCTCTACTTTTATGGTCTTGCGATTGATGATTTTTCTTCTTGATTGAAGTTGAGGACAGGATCCTCGCTGGTTTGCATCAAACTTTAAATGGATATGACAGTCGGCCCATCATTTTGATCTTGTTCGTCCTCGATGGTTGTCAAATCGCCAATGAGTGAGTCCAGTGGGTTCTGGACATTATTTTTATCATCAAACGCATTTGGAACTTGATCCATTATATCATCAGGAAATGGAGCAGAGCGGTTATCTTTAGAATCCAGAGCTGGAACGAAAACATTATTTTCAACTTGAGAAGCAGAAAAAATACATTTTTTGTCCTGCCACGCGGTTTTGTCGATAATCGCGAGTTCTTTATAATAGGAATAGTTTACACTAATCTCACCTGGAGTCTGAGCGCGAACCACTGCGGTCTCGTCCTTGGACCCATATTTTTCCTCATCACTGACATTTTCATTAATAAGAGCTGGAATAGAATCAAAATTTCAACTTGAGAAGCAGAAAAAATAAATGTCATGCCATGCGGTTTTGTCAATAATCGCGAGCTCTTTATAAAAGGAATAGTTTATTACGATCTTACCTGAAGTCTGAGCGCGATCCACTGCGGTCTCGTCCTTGGACTCATCTTTTTCCTCACCGTCGTTGAAATTTTCTTTAATAAGCATTTTTTTCGCCACAAGCTCGTTTCATTTCTATAGAATTTTTTTTGAATGTCACTTTTTTAGTGAGACCGTTGCTTATTAAAAAAATAACGATGAGATTATCGATGCTTGAGATATTTCAGTTCATTCAGACTTACACGATATCGAAATAAATGCACTATTCACAGTGGAAGAGCTTACTCCAATTTAAGGATGGTACAGAGACAAACTTAAGAACTAAGCTAACAGTTTAAAAGTAGTAAAGTTTTCTAAAACAGCAATCATTAACAATATTAAAGTAATTATTATTTTTTGAATATAGGTGTAATATATGTATATTCGGTTCTGCAAAACGCAACTCTTTGTTAAAGTTAGTTATTTGAAGCTAGTGCTCAAACACGGTATTCAAAAACACTTTCACAAACCTATGACCAATTTGCCCGGCTCATATTTCTAACGTTTCTATTACTCGCGGCAGTTTTTAACACTTGAAATGGTCGAATAGATCGATAGAGCACAACCATTTCCCTTTCGCAGTACCCTTAGTCGTTTATCATTGAACCACTCGATGGACTCACAATCCACACTCGCATCCACAAAATACATACTGTTTTTTGAACAGATAACAAAATTTGCTATAAATCCATAAAACTTTCCGTGTGATTTTGGAAAAATAAAATTTTCGCCAATTTTTAATTTTTTTACAAGGGGGTACCCCATGATTTTTTGCGGAAATTTATAAACAAATAAAATGTCATAACACTTTCCGTATGATTTTGGAAAAATAAAATTTTCGACAATTTTTAATTTTTTTATAAGGGGGTACCCCATGATTTTTTGCGAAAAATTAAAAATAAATAAAATGTCAAGGTTTAAATGCCAATCGTTAGGAAATTTAATAACGAGTTCAGAAAGGTATGACAATCCATACTTTGAATCAGTATTTGCTTTGTTATAGCGAAAAAACTGCTTCGTTTTAGCGAAAAAACGAGTTTGGTTTTTTTTTGGAAATTCGCGATTTCAGTTTTTGACAAAAATTTGCATTTTTTCTTTTGGTTTTTTTGCTTTAACTTGGCCAAAAATGGTCCTACACCAAAAATTCATACTGTTTTGAACAGATAACAAAATTAGCTATAAATTTATAAAACTTTCCGTGTAATTTTGGAAAAATAAAATTTTCGCCAATTTTTAATTTTTTTATAAGGCGGTACCCCATGATTTTTTGCGAAAAATTAAAAATAAATAAAATGTCAAGGTTTAAATGCCAATCGTTAGGAAATTTAATAACGAGTTCAGAAAGGTATGACAATCCATACTTTAAACCAGTATTTTTTTGTTTTAGCGAAAAAACCAGTTTTGTTTTTTTTTGAAAATTCGGGATTTTAGTTTTTGACAAAAATGGGAATTTTTTTTTGTGTAACTTGGCCAAAAATGGTCCTACATCAAAAATACATACTGTTTTGAACAGAAAACAAGAGGGAACGTTATAGTCGGATGCCCCGACTATCAGATACCCGTTACTCAGGTAAAGGGAGTGCGAGGGAGATGGAGATAGAGATAGAAAACGTTGATCACGCATAACTTTTTAACGAATGGTCCGATTTGAAAAATTTCTTCTACATTTCGATAGGTATTGATAAACACAATAAAACTGCATTTTTACTTTTCCAAAATATTAAAATTTTTAAAATCGTATATAAGCGATGGTGGGCGTTAGAGGGGGCGTGGCACCATTTTGAAACAAACTTGCGCTGCGTAGGAATTCCTAGAATCTGCATGCAAAATGCCAATCTTCTAGCTTCTATAGTTTCCGAGATCTCAGCGTTCATACGGACAGACGGACAGACAGACAGACAGACAGACAGACAGACAGACGGACAGACGGACAGACGGACATGGCTAGATCGACTCGGCTAGTGATCCTGATCAAGAATATATATACTTTATGGGGTCGGAAACGCTTCCTTCTACCTGTTACATACTTTTGCACGAATACAATATACCCTTTTACTCTACGAGTAACGGGTATAACAAAGTAAGAAATAACCCCATAACAATTTTCGCCAATTTTTAATTTTTTTATAAGGGGGTACTCCATGATTTTTTGCGAAAAATGTAAAAAATATATAAAATGTCCAGGCTTAAATACCAATCGATTGGAGTTTTAATAACGAGTTTAGAAAGGTATTACAATATTTAATATATTTGGATCAATATTTTCATTGTTACGGTCAAAAAACTAATTACTATTATTTTTTTATTTTTTGGCCAAAATACTTGGGTGAAAAATTTTTGGGTGAAAAATATTAAAGTATTTTTAGCCTCGAGCTTTAAAGCTTAGCTCAGTTCACAACCCCGAAAACTTAGTTTAAAAGCGAAGTCAACAATCGATTTGGTGAAAACGAAAGACTTAAGAAGCGAACTTGTACCAAAGGAAATTTTTATAAAAAATAACTATTTTTACGTATATATTTTATTGGTCGGTCTGGGTTGCACTTATTGGGTTACAATTATATTGAAGAAGCCATTGTTTAATCGTTCCACCAGCCAGCACCGCCGCGGGAGCCACCACCGTAGCCAGCTCCTGCTCCACCAGCAGCACCATAGGCAGCTCCACCGGCACCACCAGCTCCATAGGCACCTCCTGCTCCACCACCGCCGCCGGAAGCGTGGTTCACGGTGTAATCGAACTGGGCGGGATTGCCCCAGGCGTTGCCTCCAGCTCCACCAGCTCCTCCGGCACCACCCTGCCAGCCTCCAGCTCCTCCGGCACCACCACCGCGTCCGGCTCCAGCTCCTTGCCAGCCTCCAGCACCGCGTCCACCGCCATAGGCAGCTCCTCCAGCTCCGCCGCCATAGGAGGCTGCACCACCGCCGTAGGAAGCTCCTGCTCCACCGCCATAGGCGGCAGCACCACCGCCGTAGGCTCCACCGCCGCTAGCGGCACCACCGCCGATGTGGACCTTAGTGTTGCCCTGCGACTGGGAGACGTGGGACACCAGACCCGCTCCAATGGCCGGACGACCACCGAAGCCGCCGCCGCCGCGTCCTCCGCCGGGCAGATAGCCACCGCCGGCACCACCGCGGAAGCCACCGGCACTGGCCAGAGCCAGGGAAGCCAACAAGCAGACAAAGACCTATGGAGGATTGGAGTCAGATCCTTGAGGCTTACTAAAGTCGAGTTCTTACCTTCATTCTGGAATCGAAGTTGATTGGATTTGAGATTCTGATCGAAGCTGAGATCCAATGGTTTGTGATGTCTTTGGGCCAAGAAACACTTGAATTTATAGTCCAAATCCTATGGATCTTCTTTGGCTAATGATCCCAAGCCAAGAAATACAAGAAACAACAAACAAAAAACGCGAAAAAACAAATTGAATTTTCAAATAGCAAAACATCAATTTGCTGCGCTCAATCATTAGATTCTCCAGCCCTCTGAACTCATCTTTATCTTTAGCTCCAGCTCTTCGCTTTGTTTTCCTTGGCTTTAATTAAAAGTCACAAATTAATTGCACGTCGGCAATTAGCCTGCGGCCTTCCGATTGCCCAATCTACAGCTCCGCAGAGGCAAGTGCCTTAAAAGCCCGAAAAGTGGACGCAGTGCGTCCAGTTTATGCCCAGGTTGCTGTGTGGGCGCTTCGCCTCCTCCACTCCTGGCACTCCTGGCACTTGCTTCTTTTGTTTGCCTTATTTTTATTTTATTTTTTTGAAAGTGAACAATTTGTTTGTTATGCAAGCGGCAGTGCAGCAATGCAACTCATCAACTTGACAGAAATAAAGTGGAACTCTGGCCGGCAAAAATGCTGTGAATGGGAAATATTTGAAATGGAAATGGGGAAGTCAAATATTTTGGCATCCTACGGCGCTGAAAACCGAAATTGTATTTCACCAGCCAGAGTGTGCAGAGTCACCTTTAATGACCCAGTGAAATGGGATTTTTTTTCAAGAAATTTGTGAACAGTTTTGAAACAATCTCTTTTTGTGCATTTTTTTTTTAATGTTGTAACAATTAAACCAGTTAAAGTGCCCTTTAGAATTGTGAAGTAAATCTTTAAATATTATTTTTATATTTCCCACAAAGAAATTTAATAAAATGAATTTGTACTCCAATTACTTCAACTCATTTATTTATTTGCACTTATTATAATATTCTTAAGTATCTTAATAACAACAAATAAATTAAAGTAAATTAAAATTTAAGAGGTTAACTACAATAAGTCATTTTCACTTTCTACAGTATCAGAAATAAATTTAAGCTAACATTACTTCTCCATTATTCAAATTAGGCTGATGGGCTTATAAAGTAAGCGGTTAACTGCTTGCCAAATGGTTTAGTTGCTTTAGTTGGCTTCGTAAAAACGCCAGTGGAACTGTAAGTAGCCGATGATGAAGTGCGTCTGTCGGCCAGCTCTAATCTCTAATGGGACAAGTTGGCTGGCAAAATTGGAGCTGCTCACTAAATGCTCACAAGCGATGGAAATTGAAGCGAGGAAACCCGCACGGAAACAGAAGCCATTGGTTTGGTTCATAGATCACCTGCGACATGCAGGGTATTCAAAGCAGTAGACTCAGCCACTCTCTTTAGCTCTTTTCCATTTCTCCGCAGCCGGAGAAAGCCTCTCTCCTTGGGCCATTTTCTCAGCTCTCTGGCAGCTCTCTGTTTGATTTGCCGGCTTTCGCTCTTTGGGATAATTTCGGGCTTCGTTGGGGCCGCTGCAGATTTGGCCAAATCATTCCGTTGCCAACGTTGTAACTGGAAAACGTGTTTGCCGCATCGTCGGCGTCGCGTCGTCGTCTTCGCAGTTTTCCTCCTGACTCTTCGCGTTCATTTTCCCAGTGATTGATAGCCCTTCCATCAAATAAATTCGTGAAAACTGATCCTCAACCCCCCGGAACATCCATCTCAATGTGCGTGTAGTGTTCTTTTGTTTGTTTTTTCCTGTTCATTTGTCACAATTGGCAAGCCAATCGAAAGAGTTCACTAAAAAGTACGAAGCAAGATTAATATGTTTTGTTAAAGTTGGGGAATATTGCCAAAAGGAATATAGCGGAGACAGCTTGAATATCAAATAAGTCTAACGGTGAGTTAAAAATAATGAAAAAAATAAATCAAAAATAAAATATAGAAAAATGAGTTGAAATTGTGAATGAATAACTTTAAAAATTCCATAAAATATTTCAAAAATAAAATCGAAGCTGAAAGATATTCCCATAAAAATGCAAATGGTTGGGAATGCAAACAATGGTCTGAAAACTGAAATAAAACAATCATTCAACTTTAATTTTGCATACACAAAGAAATGCGGATCGTTAAAATCGTTAAATAATACATTTGCATTTATTGTTTTTTTTCCCCCAAAGACATGCAATACTTATTTAAATACTAATGACTTATTTAGATAATTTTCACGAGCAGTTGGCAGCAAAATCACGCCATTAAAAGCTGCACAGAATGAATAAATAGAATGAAGCAGCTCGCCAAAAATAGACAAACGCCATCTCAATTAAATACATTTACTTTTTTAATGGTTAAGACTTTGGTCTTTAACTAGTTTTTGCTTTTTTTAGGTCTCACTTGATGATAAGTGCGCATTAGTCAAAGTTAAGTTGAGGCTGGATTTAGTTTTAGTGCTGCGCCGTTTTCCTTCGTCTAGCAAACTTTTTTTCGTTCATGGTCTATTAATTGCCGAAGCAGCTCCTCATTTTCTTTTACACGTCGAGATGCGCACATATATTATGGCTTTTTATTTTGATTTTTATTTTTTATGGCCTCGCGGGCCTCGAAAATTATATATATTAAAAATCGGAGAAGATCTCGTGCCAATGGCCCGCGCCGTTGGTTAGAAATTTTCCTCCATTGGCGGCTGGCGATTGACGATTGAAACCGAAACCGCGATTAGGGCAATTCCCTACGCAATTCACCATGAAGCATCGCAAGTGGCAGAACAAAAGACTGAGGCAACAAACTTGAGTGCGCTTGCGGTTTCTGCGGGCGGGATATGGTAGATGGTAGATGGTATATGGTATCATATGGGATCGGATTGGATGGGTTGCCTAAGTTGACAGCACAGCACAACCTCTCCATCTCCATCTCCATGTGCATTCAGCTGGATGACTTTCTCCCTGCTCCAACTTCTAAGTGGCATTGCTAATAAGCCACGGGGAATTGTTATTTGCTTTTTTGTCGCTGCACCTGTCGTGGGTTCCTATCACATCGCCAACGGGGTAGCAGGGGGTATGCTAGGACCCAGCATTTCACGAATCTTAAGTAAATTAAATCAAAATTTAACTCGTAATTTATTTTGAATTATATTACTAATATTACAGATTAAATAACTAAAGAATAACATTTTGTAATATTTTAACTTTAATTTCCGTAAATGAGATTTCAAAGAATTAAAAATTTTATTATAAGACTACATTTAAATATCCCTAGGAGATTCAGAACAAGTTTTGGTTTGCATACTTTTTGTATACCAATTTTTGGAAAACTCTAATTTTTCCTTCAAATTCACTGAGGTTAACCCGCTCTTTAACCCTGATCATCGAAGGGTCTAACCTTTGGGCGACTCGCGTCTACATCCACATCCACAACCACATCCAACATCCACATCCACGTTGAAGTGATATTAATTGCCCTGCGCACTTATTGTGGAGTGGGTACTTAGGTGACTTTCATTGTCTTGACGGCGGCGGCGGCTTATTATGCGGCAGGTGGTTTGCTTTTTTTTGTTGTTTTCCTCTGCTTTATGCCCCACACACATGTGTGTGACTTTGACTGCAGCTCTAGTTTAATCACACTTTTAACTCCGTTTCACATAATACTAATTTCATAATTTGCACCACCCAACGCACCACCACCATCTCACTCCATCGACTGCTGCTGCATTTTCACTTTTACACATCGGTCCGTCGGCCGTGTGATTAAAGCAAATCTCGCCCGTTCGCTTTGCATAAGTGGTGATCTTTTTAAATATTTCTCTCTTTTAATTTTTACCCACCATCGTCAATGGGAAATCTGAAGCGCCCCGGGAAGTGCTTCCCAGAATCCCGTGAATCCCGCAGATTGGCACCCAACTGAAAACTAAAAACTAAAAACTCAAGACTCAACGGCGTCCTAGGCGTTGACATGCCTTGTAGGCAATCCACACAGCTAGCGGATCATAATTGCAGGTAGATGGGCAGGTAGGCCAACTCATCTGGAGGCGGAAAAGCTGGAGGAGATTGGGAAGGGGGATGGGATGGGATGGGATGGGGTTCCTCCTCGAGAAGCAACAGCCATCGTGTAAAACATGCAGCCATGATCATGATCATGATCAAGTTGTAGCTGTTGATGTGTTGCTGACTTTGTCGAGGGTCCCATAACTTGCTCAAGAACTAAGCTAATTAATTGAAAAGGTGCAAATATATGATTTTACAACATCAATATAAACATAAAAGAAATGTTTTAAAATTACAGCAGTTCCTATTTTGAAACAGTTAAAATCAATAGAACCCAGTTTAAGTTAAATAAAAAAGCTAGAAATATAGGAATTTAGATATATTTAAGGATTATAGCAGTTCCCAATCTTGAAAAGTTAAAAATAATCTTCAAATTATTAGTTCATGCTTGAAAATACATGTAAGAATATTTAAATGGCTAATTAAAAAGCTAGAAATATAGGATTTTACAATATCAATGCAAACACATAATAAATACTTTAAAAATATAGCAGTTCCTAATTTCAAATGTATAATTAAAGTTTAAATATACATTTTTAAATATTTAAAAGGCTGATTTAAAAACACAGAGTAGTAGAGCATTTTGCGATTCGCATTGCCTTGGCTCTAATCACCTCATCTGATGGCCCTCCCCTTGGGATGTCGCTGGTTGTCTTGCGGCTGGCGGTTGTGCATCTTTGTATCTTGTAGCTTGTATCTTGTATCTGTCGGCGAGCGAAATAGCACGTACCATATAATCAGGCAGCAGCGGCAGCAACCCAAAAAACGCTGGAAATCAGAGAAATAAGCCAGCAAATGAGAAGTAAGAAATAAGAAATAAGAAACGGCAACCGCCACAAATCAGTGACTAAGAATGAAAGTTGGCCAGTGTAATTGAACAATGCGATTGTCCCTCCTTTTTGTCAACGTGAAAATGTATCTGTATCTTTGGTATACATTTCCCAGTTTATTTCTATCTCTTGGGCAGGCAATTATCATAATTATCAATGCACTTTTCACACTTTCCATGCTCTCTCAGCTCGCGGCCGCCGTTTTCTAGGCATTTGTCACAGAAATTATGCATAAATTTCATAAATTTCAGCGCCGCCTGCTCGCTTTCGAATTGGAATCGCTTAGTCTTGGTCTCCATTGTTACACTTCCAGCCAATTTCGATTCTATGGCCCATTGTCAACCCTTCACCTTCCGCGGAATGGAGTCAAATGGCCCGCCGGCCCCATCAATTTTCAGCTCTTCGGCTTTTCAGCTTTTCAGCGAACAATGACAAATCGATGATGACGACCATGGCGTCAACAAATAAACATTGTGCGACATTCGACATTTATAAACAAATTTGTTTGCTTTTTTCTCGCCTCTATCCGATCATAATTGTGCGGTTGGCTCTGGCTGGAAAGTGAAACCATCGTTAATAAATAAGCAGCGGCCCAATAACTCAGCACAATGGCGTTTTTTGAACTGGAAAACCTGTAACTTTCGAACGCATTTCGATGCGCACATAAGGCGATTAGCTCAAGATCAGACTGGAAAACAGTTATCGGAAATTATACAATTTATATAACACTTGTCGGCCGTTTGATTGGCGGCTAAGCGGATCGGTCGTCAAATTAACTCGACAGATTTGAATAATTTTTAAACCGATTTATGGTTTATATTTTATAGCATGTGGGAAAAATAAGGAAAATATTGTATATTTCCCAAAGAAGCTATAAGTAAATAAAAAGTAAAAGTTCGGACTTAATAACAGAGCTTGAAAAAATATCGACAGTTATATAAACATTTTTTAATTAATTAATTTTATCTTGAAACTCCTGACCCAGAATTCTTTCATTTTGGGAACACTCGTCACTGTCTATCATAACTCCTTATTAATCCCATAGTTTCCTCACCTTTCTGAGCCCAAAAAAAAAGAGAAAGAAATGCGCAAAGACAGGGAAAATTAAAACTTAAGAGATTAAGGGGGCTATATATCATGGATAGCATCGCATAATCATGACAGGCAATTCGTGCCTGCGACTAAGCCAGCTTTTAATTCGTGCCCCGCAATCCGATGACCTTTTCCCGGCTGGAGGAGGGGTACTCTTCAGCACGAGAGGAGATCTTGACCAGACAACCTGTCACATCTCAATTGGCGCTTGACCAAAGCAGAGGCTCTTGACTTCGGACTATGCAACAAGTGGCCGCCCGAGAGTGCTGCTGTTGTGCATTTTTCTCATGTCGCTGATCCTACACTCACAAAAATAAACTTAAGCTCCAGGAAATTTTATATTTTTGGCATTTTTTTTTCAAAATCATGAATCGTTTTTTGAAGATCACCCGGAAAGTGTCGTGGATTTATTTATTATTTTGTTATCTGTTTAAAACAGTATATTTTTTATGTAGGACTATTTTTGGCCAAGTTATAGCAAAAATAGAAAAAGGAAAAATTCCCGTTTTTGACAGAAACTGAAATTGCGAATTTTCCACAAAAAAATAATTAGTTTTTTGACCATAACAATAAAAATATTGATCGAAATATAGATTGTCATACCTTTCTGAACTCGTTATTAAAATTGCAATCGATTGGCATTTAAACCTGGACATTTTATATTTTTTACATTTTTCGCAAAAAATTATGATGTACCCCCTTATAAAAAATTGAAAATTGGCGAAAATTTTATTTTTCCGAGATCTTCCGGAAAGTGTCATGGATTTAAATATTATTTTGTTATCTGTTCAAAACAGTGCGTATTTTTGGTGTAGGACCATTTTTGGCCAAGTTATAGCAAAAAAGGAAAAGAAAAAATTCAAATTTTTACCAAAAAGCCGGATACCAATTTTCCACAAAAAAAAGTATTAGAATCAATGGAAATATTGATCATAATATGGATTGTCAAATTTCTGAACTCGTTATTAGATTTCAGTTTGCATATAAACGGACAGACGAACGGACAGACGGACATGGCTGGATCGACATAAATATTATCAACTATTTAGAAAATGGGCTTTTTTAGCCCAGTGTAGATGGTCTGGCTATTACTGTTGTCCAGATGTGTCTGCTGCCGTTGGAGAGTGGCTGATATTGCAGATGTTGCTGGTGTTGCTGTTGCGCTGGCCATGTTATCGCTTTTGTTGCCACTGATTGGCGCCGTTGTTGCCACGCCTCCGGTCATCCATTGCTGCACTGCTGCTGCTGCTTGGGCAATTTCTCGCCTCGGCTTACATAAACAGAGATATAAACATGGATTATCAGTTTTCAGTTTTCGGGCAGTCGGGAACTGCCGAATATTCGCCATGGAGCTGGGAAGTTGGCAACACTTTGTGGCACTTTAATGACCGCAAAAAGAAATGGCAAGTGGCAAAAAATGATTCGGCCCGTCATTAGGTTGTTGTGACAAACGAAACAAACGAAACGAAACGAACGAAACAAAAGGCAGACGTTACACCATATTCGAATATTCGAATATTCGTGCATAAATAATGATAGATCGGCATAAAGCCACCGATATTGATTGATTGTGGCGCCGACTTCCGGGGGTCACAACCTGACCAGATTTCCGGCTCCCGCTGTTTAATGTTGCTGCTGGCTCGAGTTGCTGGCCATTCATGTTGCTAGTTGCTGTTGGCCATGGCCAAATGCGAATCACGATCCCAGCTTGTTTTGCCATCACTTCACTCTCGTTTCGGCTTTTACTTTTCGGTGCCCCAAAGACTCGCACATGACTTCACTTTTACCGCAGTTAAGGTTCGTCATGGGTCGCCGATACACGATATACCCCACAACCTCTCCTTTATACCTCAACTTTTATAAAATCATACGCATTATTTTTGTAAAAATATTCAAAGATTTACTAGCAAATTTTAGCTAAGATATTATATTTATTTTAAATAATTGTATAAGAAAATAGGAAGGAACACACCAAAATAATAATAAATCCATATATATATAGAACCTACTTATACTTTAATTACTTTAAATATCGGGATTTTTTTGGAAACAATATTTTAGAGCAAATAAAATGGGTGCTAAACTTCAATTTGATTATAATATCTTATTTGTAATTAATAGATCATTTACTTTTGTATTTTTTTTTTTATATATTCTAAGGTTAGAAAGAACTTATAAGTATGCCTTATAAGTAGAAATTAGTATTTTAAACTAATAACAGCATACTTTAACATTTAAATTGAAATGGCTGGCCAGCTTCTCGCAAATCGTCGTTAAAGGGCGCACACAAAAGCCAATCGGTTTAATGACATAATTAGGCGTTGTTTTTGGAAAGGTGTTGCTCTCGAGAAAATCCCCGAAAAACCGGGAGGGGGGCTCTTGGGATTTTCGAGTGCCACCCAGACGAACAGACAGTTCCCCAAGCGGCGGGTCACCGCCCAGCCTGATTGATTTGACCCCGCTAAAGGGGCAGACTTTCACTGGCGTGATCTCTGAGCTTTACCTTCGGTCCAATCCCTCCCCGAATTCCCCGATTCGCGTATGTACGTGGTGCCTATATGTACATATTCATGATAATACCCCGTTTGGAATTCGGAATTTGGAATTTGGAATTACCGAAATGCATTCCGTGCTGCACAAATGTCTGGGATTATTGCAGATGTGCGATTATGTGAGATGATGTCATCACTGGGAGCCCTGGGCCATGGGATCATCGGATCTATAGACTATAGACTACGGAGCATTGGGAGCAGCGCAGATCTGGCGGCAACTTCTGCCGAAATCAATTTGCTGTAATTATGTAACTGTAACTGGCGGCCCCAAAAAAGACAGCCGATCATCAATCAGTCGAGGGCCCGTCATTAGCTCACATTTCATCGCCTAACTGCGGATGCCATCCAGTGGGATCGAGTTTCCATCTCTTAGCGGAGTTTTCGATGGAATGGTGCTATTACTTAATCCGCCGTTGAATGCTTCGAATACCCGTTTAGAAGGTTCTGAGAGAACCAGCTTACAAATACTATGAAACTTAATTCAAAAGAGTTTTTATATTAATATTACATTAACAAGGTAATTTTTATAAAATTGTATAAATAATACCCATTTAAAATAACTAAATAATAAAGAACTATTTAGATCTGATCTTGCTGGGCTTAAAAGGTTTTCAAAAAGAAAATGATGAACTATTTTTTAAATTTTTTGTTCCTTTAAAATGGGTAAATAAACACTACCTGATTGGAAATTAATTAGGAATTAATTGGAAATTTGATTACGAGATGATATTGATAGTTATGTCCTAGTAGTAATTATCTTAGAAAAGCTATGTAACTCCGAAATCTCTGATGGAATCACTGGCATCACCGATTCCGCCCGATAGTCTCCAACCTTCCTGTCCGCCGACAATGACAAATACAAAGCTGGTTGGCAACGGAGATCCGATCCGTGGCCAATTTAAATCGGAGTTGATGGCAAATGGCGATGGCGATGGCGAGTCCGTTCAACTGGCTCCGCTCGCTTCCCCATGGAAGCCGGGCCACTTGTTGGCCAGGTTTATGGTCGGATCCATTAGTGCTGCCTGCGCACCGGGCCATTTGACTTCATTTGATTTCGAGAGCAGATGCCAATTGGCGATTGCCATTCATTTGGCACTCGAGAGTTCAATGGCAGCCACCGACAATGGTGGAGTCATCTGGGAAAATTGATCTGCGGCTTTCTTGGTGGCCCCCATTTCGAATTTCTTATTTCTTGCGGAATTCTCTGTGCAAATTGCGCAAAATTCGAGGTTGGGCCACTGTGATTTCCCGCAATTGCCATTGATGAGTTGCATATTGTTGGATCGCCGCATTGCGGTGCAGTTCATTTGGGTCAAATTTCCATTTCTATCTTGAAAACGTCTATCTTCAAACGTCTAGTTCAATTTTATTCTTAAAATCTGTAGTTGTAGGTACATCCAAAATATTTTACAATTAATTATCTTGTTTTTCTTAGCCTTAAATATGCATTTGAAAAATTTGTAGTATAAACAGATTCTGCATAAAAATACAAATCTCTAACTAGTATTTTTCAGAGTAAAAAAAAGTGGTTTTCCAAAACTAAAAGCACATCGAATGCCCAATGGAAGAATAATATCATTTGTATTAAAATTATAAAAGTCTTTTTGAGGCAAGGACGGATTTTTCAAAAGAAAAACGTGAAAAAATGTTGTAATTGGAAATGTAATTTAAATATTTTAAAAAGAAATGATCTAAAGAGATATGCATTTAGCTAGAACATTTTCAACGCTTGAGATATTCAAAAATACATATATATCTACATTAATATTATAATTAATTAATGGAATACATTTCGAATGGTCTTCTCTACATACACTAAACATTCAATTTAAAATACACATTCATACAATATTCTACGGGAGCGAAAAAGACTTCGAATTCGTAGGGTCGACCGTGGAGATTGGCCATGCTCTCTCTGCCGCTTTTCAAAGGCATCAAAGGCATCGCTCAAAGAGCCACAATCGACCGAAAAATAACAAATTAATTTCACTTTCTTTGTAAGTAAGCTGCTGCTGTCTTTTCTGCTGTTGCTGCTGCTGCTGCTCCGGTGTCTTTGTGGCCATTGTTGCTGCAGCAGCGACAAGCTCGACTTCAGGTTTATTGACTGCGTCGTCTGTGCAATTAACTCTGTTTTTTTCTCCATTTTCCATTTGCCCGCTCTTGTTTGCGGCTCAATGGGCAGTGGGAGGCAGGTGGCAGGCAGGTGGAAGGCAGCTCCATGACTGCCATGGCCCAATGCACCGCAGGGAACTGCCACGCCCACCATCCGGGCTCGCTGACACTGAGTCGCGATCTCCCTGGCATCTCGCGGCATCTCGTGGCACACATATTTTCACCCGGCAATTAGGGAGTGCCCGCAGTTGCACTCTCGAAAATCATACTTTTGGTTTACATTCGTAATTCCCTGTGTGTTTCCAATTGCTAAAATGTGCCTACAGTGCGTTTCAGAGCTTAAAATAGTTGCATCAATAGATACGCGTCGAGAGACATGTGCATGTGCATGAGACAAGTGCAGAGATATAGTCTTATATTCTATATTAAATTCGATGCATATATTACCTAAGGAAGCCGATTAAACTTTTGTCCAAATCGAGCAAAGCATTCAAAATAATGATTAGAATAAAAAACGGAGATCTCGTTAAATACTCGAAAATATTCTTAGGTTTATCACAACAATAAAGGAATCTAGTTCAAGTATTTTGTAAGTCACTTAACCATTAATAAGTACAATTCAAGTTTGATTGCCTACTAAATGCTCTGTACATTCTAAAAGTCAGGCTAAAATTTGCTTATAAAAATTTTATAACAAAAATTGATTAAAAAAAAAAAGAGTAAAATTCGTTAGCCTCTCAGTTGTGAATTTAGCTGCCCTAATCAGGTACGACAGGCTGTCTTAGGCTTTTGAAACGCACTGTACAAATATGGGTTTATCGTTAGATCGTGGATTTATTTCTACGGGGGTACCGGTCTACCTTTCTACCGGTCCATCACCTCGCGAATACTGTGTTATTTCGTGTTTTTTTGGCCGATTCCCTAGCTTAAGTTCTAACAATCGTTATCACAGTGGCCCTCGTCGGGCAGCCCCCTGCCCTCGGCCAGGCACACGGACTGAACGTCCGCCTGCATCAGTCGGCACACGGTCTCCGGGCCAATCCACTTGCCGGCGGAGCTGAGCCGCCGGGTCTCCACCATCTCGGCCACCTCGCGATCCATTAGATGCCGCAGAGTTTTGAGTTTGCCCCCAAAATCACTGGGACACTTGAGGCGCACCCACGAATCCAGGCAGATCAGCACTTCCGCCGCACCAACCGGTTCGAGGCGGAACTGCTTGCCGCCGACCAGGGCCACCTGCAGGCCACTCACCAGGCTCGTGTGCTCCAGCGAGGACCTCTGGTCGGCATTGCGGGTCTTCTCCACGAACAGTATCCACTCGCTGGCCAGCGTCTTCTGTTTTTTCCTGCCCAGCAGGCAGGAGGTGCGCGATACCTGGACGAAGGGATCGCCCTCGGCCACCAGCTGGTGCTTATTCTCGCGATCCATGTACGCCAGCTTGGGATACAGGCCGGCCGTCAGGGCCAGACGGATCATGTTCGTGTCCTGGTCGAAGGCCGAGGCCAGGCGAGCGCTGGCCTGGTTGCAGCGGAAGATGCGGTGCACGGTGTCGCGCAGCGTGGACACCGCCGCGACGAACATCTCCATGGCGTGGCGGCACAACAGATTGCGCTCGCAGAAATCGGCGATATGGATGCGCTTCAGATTGACAAACTCCGCGTAGAGCTGCAGGGCGGCCAGCGAATCGCTCATGCCGTCGCCGGCAAACTGCAGCCGTGCATTCTGCTGACCTCCGCCGCCGCCGCCGCCGCCCGACTTCGTGTTCAGCACGAAGGGATCGCGCACCGAGTGGTAGGCCGCTATGATGGTCATGCTGCCCAGGCAGCGGTAGTAAACCGAGTAGACCAGGCACTTGCCCAGCTGCACGCTCAGCGGCAGCTCGGCAATGATCCGTCCCAGCGGCGTAATCGTCTCGTCGGCCTCCCGCAGCACGCCCAGCAGCTGCAGCTTGGCAATGGCCTGCAGCACGGCCTCCGGCTGCGGCGGATCCAGCGCGAGGGCCAGAAACTTGTCTATCCTCGCCTCCGGAGCGGCCACCTTGGTCAGCAGGCATATCTCGTCGAGGGTGCGACGCATGATCTCGGGAATCGTGTACAGCGGCATTCTGGCCAGCCGGTCGCTGTCGAACAGTCGATAGCAGATGCCGTAACGCAGGCGTCCCGCTCGTCCCGCCCGCTGCTGGGCATCCGCCTGCGAGATCCAGGTGCTGCACAGCTGCGAGGCATCCGTAATGGGGTCATAGGTCATCATCTTGGCGCGACCCGCGTCGATCACATACAGCAAATCGGGAATGGTTATTGAAGTTTGCCCTATGTTGGTACTCAAGATAATCTTTAGACGAACACCCTGATAGACGCGGAAGACCTTCCGCTGCTCGTTGTTGTCCACCTGGCTGTGCAGCAGCAGGATCTTGATCGGGTAACGCGACAGAGCGGTGTACAATCGGTCCATTAGCTCGGTCATGTCGTTATAGCCCGGTAGGTAGACAATCACCGCTCCACTGTCTCCTGTGCGCAGCAGCAGCTCCAGCAAAGAAATGATTAGATCATTGTCTATATCCGGGTCTATAATGGTGCGTCCGTTGTAGTAGGCTGCCAGCAGTTCGCCCGGCTGTTCGTCGCCCGTCAGCTCGCCCAAATACTCCTCCATGCGCGGCGTCATGTAGCCGGTCTCGCTTAGAATGTCCTCTAGGTGATAGATCCTCACCCCGAAGCCGCGCCCCTCCACGTCCATCACGCTGGCCTGGCCAAAGTAGTCGGACAAGGCCTGCAGGTCCATGGTGGCCGACATGAGCACCAGGCGCAGATGGGGGTTCTTCTGCAGCTCTAATTTGGTGGCCAACAGCAAGAAGTCCGTGTCTAAGTCCCGCTCGTGCACCTCGTCTATGATCAGGTGGGTGGTGTTCCTGAAGAACGACTCGCCGTCCATGGCTAGAGCACGCAGAAGACAGCCGCTGGTGGTCAGCGTGAGGACCGTTTGGCTGCTGCATTTGCCTGTCAAGGAATGGGGTATTGTTTATAGGTAAATCCGAAGGATTTCCTGGCCCACCGCTACTCACTGTTCATGCGGATCTGATAGCCCACCGTGGTGCCCGCCGCCTCGCCGCGCTCCTTGGAAATGCGCTCCGACACGCTGATCGCTGCTATGCGTCGCGGCTGACTCACCACGATCCTGACCGCAGCCCGTTCCTGGGCGGCCCATTCGAGGATGTACTGCGGCAGCTGGGTGGACTTGCCCGACCCGGTGGCTCCTTTGATGATCAAGACCTGCGGGGAAGCATTAAGGATTAGCTGGGAATAACATGGACAAGATGTACGGGTAGGAAAATGTCTTAGGAATAGGAGGGGGCATAGTTACGGGGCATAAAAACAACTTTTAAGGTCTGGAAAACCAGAATATTCTCGAATATTACAAGAATATCTTATTTGTAGGTAAAAGGAAGATTGTCAAAGGTGTAAATTGAGCTAATACAAAATATAACTCATATAAAAGTCTTAAAAAGCAAGATAGTACATATAAAACCAACTATAGATCTAGAATATGATGGGATATTGACATTTCTAGGAAATATTGACATTTGTGAAGGATTGTCAAAGGTATAAATTGAACTAATACAAAATATAACTCATATAAAAGTCTTGGAAAGGACATGGTCTGTTCTTATCGTATAAAACCTACTATAGAAATATTGACATTTGTGAAGGGTTGTCAAAGGAAGATGGTACATATAAAACCAACTATTGATATTGACATTTCTGGGAAATATTGACATATAAGAAGAATTGTCAATGTATAAATTGAGCTAATACAGAATATCACTCATATAAAAGTCTTAAAAAGGAAGATGGTACATATGAAACCAAGTACAGATCTAGAATAGGATGGGCTATTGACATTTATAGATAGTTTCTGTTCACCTGCTCGCGCTGGAGATTCCCAAGGATGTTCTCTCGCTGCTTAAAGATGGGCAGACTGCGTCGGTCCTGCTCAATGTTCCGGTTGCGGTTGCTTGGCGGCGGCGGGATCAACCGCTGGCCGACCAGGCCGAAGTTCGACGGGCGGCGCTCCTCCTCCGGCTGGCGATTGAGGCGCCAGAAGCCCGGCGGCATCCTGTCCAGGCGGCTCTCCACCGGCCCGTAGATCTGGTCGAAGATCCTCAAGAGCGCGGGACTCGTGTGCAGCCGGGCGTTGTCCAGCAGGTAGTGCTGCAGGGCGTCCGACTGCGGGCGCGAGATGGTCAGGACGCGGTCCTCCTCGGGCCCCTTGCTCGCTGTCTTGAGGCCGCGGCTCTGGGCCAGCCGGTGGACGTGGCTGCGCTGCGCCTTGCTCAGCCCGCGGAGCTGCTGCTCCGGCTCGCGGCTCTGCAGGAAGTCGCTGACCAGCTGGCGCAGCGCCTTCTCGTCCTGCCCATTGAGCTTGTCCTCCTCGCCGGAAGGCTTGTGTTTGGAGGGTTTGGAGGAGGGCTTGGAGGAGGTCTTACCTGCGGCCTTTGCGGCATTGGAATTCGAATTGGAGTTCCTCGCCTGGCCATTGGCCACAAACCCACCGCCCGGCGGCCCCTTCCTCCCGCCGTGGCGACGCCCGCGGTTTACGTCTTTCCTACTATCTGCCATTGGCTATTTTAGATATTTCTAGTAATATTTATTCGAATTAAACACAACCGTCTTCACTGAAAATGAAAATGAAATGTTTTAATTTTATTGAGCTGGTTGAGCTTGTCAAGTTTATCGATATCAGCTGGTCAGTTCGGGTGACAGTTCGTATTCGATATATCGTTGGTGCCAGAAAGTAATCGAATAGAGCGGTGCTTTTTGAACGCTATTTTGCAGAACCAAGGCTTTTATATTTAAACTCTTGTTTTTACCAAGATTTACCACCAACACAAATAAATTGTAATTGTTTTGTAATTCCGAAAAGTAGTAAGATCTTATTGGCAGGCGAAAAAATATATGATTTTGGCAAGTTCAGTGACAGTTTGTAATCGATATATCAATTGCACTTATCGCGGTGCTTTTTAAAAACCTATTTTGCAGAAAACTCACATTCCATTCGTTAAATAAAATACTTCAATAGTGTTATCATTTGTCATTTTTTAGTAATCCTTAAGTAAAATAGTTTTTATTCAGCCAGAACTTTGAATAAACTTGTTAGTTATTCATAAATCTTTAACGAAAACAAAGGAGTGAAATTATTTTTTAATCAACGGAAAATACAGTTTTAAAATTAAACAATTTAGTAAATATCTCTACCCAAGCTTTTCTGGTAAAATTAGTTAAAAGCTTTTGATATATTTCCAAGATTTTGAAACTATCTCGCTCACTTTGGCTATACAATATAGTTTATTTAGCCTTTTTGGAACCTTTTAAGGTTTATCCCTCTTATCAGTCAAACAAAAATGAGTAGTTTACAAAGAAAATAGGTTTATTTCGGTTTGGTGGGGGTTTTGGGTACTGCTTTCTGTGGCTCTTCCTCGCTGCCGTCCTCCGCCTCATCCTCCTCCTCCTCGGAGTCGAACTCGGAGTCATCCTCGTCCTCCTCCGAATCGAATTCCGAGTCATCTTCGTCCTCATCCTCCTCCTCTGCGGCCAGATTCAGCTGCTTGATCTTGTCCAGCAGCTCGTCGCGCGTGTGGGCCACCCGCTTGGCCTTCTCCCGGCTGGCCAGCTGCTGCTCGTCCAGCTCCTCATCCTGCTGCTCCTCATCCTCGCCCTTCGGCTGCTTCTTGCCTCGCTTCATGTAGCGCAGAAAGGCGCGCCGCTTGCGCTCCGAGAAGGACTTGACCAGGCGATCCATCTCCGACTGCAGCTGCTGCTCCTCGCGCGGCGTCGGCTGGGGCTCCTCGATGGCCACCTCGCTGGCGCTGCGCAGGCACTTGGCGCAGGCGTGCGCCTTGATGGCGCAGTCGCGACAGACGACATGGTAGGCCTTCTTCACCGTCCGCTCCTTGCAGTGGGCACAGGTCTTGGCCTGCGTCAGCGGCTTGTACTTCTTGTACTTGATCTTCCACTCGATCTGCTCCTTGCACCGCTGGCACACCGTCGACACGTGCATCGCATTCAGGCGCAGCTGCTGCGGCGTCTTGTCGTGCAGATCGTTCTTAAAGACATGCCGATTCTTGTGCTTCTGCGCACGTGTGCGGCTCACATTGCCCCGCTGGCTGCTCATCTTTTGGCTTGTGGGGCTTGTTTTCCTGTCATTACATAGCTTATTAGTTCTAGTTTTGATTAGCCACCCCTTTGAGTTGATTTACCTGCTTTAATTAGGCTAATTCGATCACAGACCAGTTGCTCCTCGTTGTTTTGGTTAAAATAAATTTATTTATTTTGTCTAGTGTGACCGTTTGCTTTAGCTTACAAAATGCCAAAAAGCTGTTGGCACTAGTGGCTCTCAAACTGTTTAGCCAGGACTGCAACCTATAAACAAACTTTAATTTACTTGTTTTCATTAAATATTAATTTGAATTTAATTTACATCCTTTACAGCCCATGTGGCCATGCGCGACCTCAAGCAGCGCCTCTTCGACCTGCTGCGCTCCAACGGCAGCAGCAGCAGCAGCAACAACAGCAACACCCATTCGAGTCCCAACAATAAGGGGAATATCCAGAATATCCAGCACTTGCCCGCGCAAAAACCCAAAAAACTGCATGAATACACGGCCGCCGACTGCAATGCGGCGTTCCTGCGGAAATACCATGATCTCAGCATTAGCAGGGATCGGGATCGGGATAGGGATCGGAATAGGGAAGTGGAGAGGCCGTCGCCCAATGTGATCTACTTCAACGAGAACCTCTCGATGGCCAGCAAGTACGGGCAGCAGGTGCGCCCCTTTCCCCTCACCCGCTACCCCTCCTGCCCTCTGAGCAGCTTCGGGATCTCGCCGGGATTGGAGGCACCCCAAGGACGTGCGGGCAGCAGCCTGGGCGAGGAGGAGGAGGAGGAGGAGGAGCAGGGAGAGGACACCGAGAGCGAGGAGCCCTATCACTTTTGCTCCGACGAGGATCGCACACAAACCATTCAAATGCGACGGCACCTGGAAATGGATCCAGATCCTCCCTCCGCCAACGAGGAGGCCGAATCCCAGCTGGACTCCTTCTGCACCCTGTGCACCTCCACCTTCAGCTACAACAAGTGCTGTCGCTTCTGCGAGAACTCACTGTGCGGCTCCAAGTGCAACTCGGAGCGGGGATCCCACGCCAGCCGGATGAGCCAAATGAGTCAGATGAGCAGGCACCTTCACGATCCGGAGCTCGATCCGCACCAGAATCAAAGTCACACTCAACAGCCACACAGATTCGGCGGCAGCATGCGAATGCTGGCCAGCCACCAGTCAGCGGCCATCAGGTGAGTTAGTCCCCAGAAATATCCGATTTCATTATGTCTATATTAATATCAATAATATAATTATTAATTTAATTATTAATTTAATTATTAATTTATTATCTGTTCAAAACAGTATGTATTTTTGGTGTAGGGCCATTTTTGGCCAAGTTATAGCAAAAATACAAAAAGAAAAAATTCCCATTTTTGACCCAAACCAAAATTGCGAATTTACCACAAAAAAAAAATTCGTTTTTTGGTCGAAGCAATTAAAATATTGATTCAAAGTATGGATTGTCATACCTTTCTGAACTCGTTATTAAATTTCCTAACAATTGGCATTTAAACCTTGACAATTTATTCATTTTTAATTTTTAAAAAAATTAAAAATTGGCGAAAATTTTATTTTTCCAAAATTACACGGAAAGTTTTATGGATTTATAGCAAATTTTGTTATCTGTTCAAAACAGTATGAATTTTTGGTGTAGGACCATTTTTGGCCAAGTTACAGCAAAAAAACCAAAAGAAAAAATTCAAATTATTGTCAAAAACTGAAATCGCAAATTTCCAAAAAAAAACCAAACCCGTTTTTTCGCTAAAACGTTGCAGTTTTTTCGCTATAACAAAGCAAATACTAATTCAAAGTATGGATTGTCATACCTTTCTGAACTCGTTATTAAATTTCCTAACGATTGGCATTTAAACCTTGACAATTTATTCATTTTTAATTTTTCGCAAAAAATCATGGGGTACCCCCTTATAAAAAAATTAAAAATTGGCAAAAATTTTATTTTTTCAAAATTACACGGAAAGTTTTATGGATTTATAGCAAATTTTGTTATCTGTTCAAAACAGTATGAATTTTTGGTGTAGGACCATTTTTGGCCAAGTTACAGCAAAAAAACCAAAAGAAAAAATTCAAATTTTTGTCAAAAACTGAAATCGAAAATTTCCAAAAAAAAACCAAACCCGTTTTTTCGCTATAACAAAGCAAATACTGATTCAAAGTATGGATTGTCATACCTTTCTGAACTCGTTATTAAATTTCCTAACGATTGGCATTTAAACCTTGACAATTTATTCATTTTTAATTTTTCGCAAAAAATCATGGGGTACCCCCTTATAAAAAAATTAAAAATTGGCGAAAATTTTATTTTTCCAAAATTACACGGAAAGTTTTATGGATTTATAGCAAATTTTGTTATCTGTTCAAAACAGTATGAATTTTTGGTGTAGGACCATTTTTGGCCAAGTTACAGCAAAAAAACCAAAAGAAAAATTCCAATTTTTGTCAAAAACTGAAATCGCGAATTTCCAAAAAAAAACCAAACCCGTTTTTTCGCTAAAACGTTGCAGTTTTTTCGCTATAACAAAGCAAATACTGATTCAAAGTATGGATTGTCATACCTTTCTGAACTCGTTATTAAATTTCCTAACGATTGGCATTTAAACCTTGACAATTTATTCATTTTTAATCTTTCGCAAAAAATCATGGGGTACCCCCTTATAAAAAAATTAAAAATTGGCGAAAATTTTATTTTTCCAAAATTACACGGAAAGTTTTATGGATTTATAGCAAATTTTGTTATCTGTTCAAAACAGTATGAATTTTTGGTGTAGGACCATTTTTGGCCAAGTTACAGCAAAAAAAACCAAAAGAAAAAATTCAAATTTTTGTCAAAAACTGAAATCGCAAATTTCCAAAAAAAAACCAAACCCGTTTTTTCGCTATAACAAAGCAAATACTGATTCAAAGTATGGATTGTCATACCTTTCTGAACTCGTTATTAAATTTCCTAACGATTGGCATTTAAACCTTGACAATTTATTCATTTTTAATTTTTCGCAAAAAATCATGGGGTACCCCCTTATAAAAAAATTAAAAATTGGCGAAAATTTTATTTTTTCAAAATTACACGGAAAGTTTTATGGATTTATAGCAAATTTTGTTATCTGTTCAAAACAGTATGAATTTTTGGTGTAGGACCATTTTTGGCCAAGTTACAGCAAAAAAACCAAAAGAAAAATTCAAATTTTTGTCAAAAACTGAAATCGCAAATTTCCAAAAAAAAAACAAACCCGTTTTTTCGCTAAAACGTTGCAGTTTTTTCGCTATAACAAAGCAAATACTAATTCAAAGTATGGATTGTCATACCTTTCTGAACTCGTTATTAAATTTCCTAACGATTGGCATTTAAACCTTGACAATTTATTCATTTTTAATTTTTCGCAAAAAATCATGGGGTACCCCCTTATAAAAAAATTAAAAATTGGCGAAAATTTTATTTTTCCAAAATTACACGGAAAGTTTTATGGATTTATAGCAAATTTTGTTATCTGTTCAAAACAGTATGAATTTTTGGTGTAGGACCATTTTTGGCCAAGTTACAGCAAAAAAACCAAAAGAAAAATTCCAATTTTTGTCAAAAACTGAAATCGCGAATTTCCAAAAAAAAACCAAACCCGTTTTTTCGCTATAACAAAGCAAATACTGATTCAAAGTATGGATTGTCATACCTTTCTGAACTCGTTATTAAATTTCCTAACGATTGGCATTTAAACCTTGACAATTTATTCATTTTTAATTTTTCGCAAAAAATCATGGGGTACCCCCTTATAAAAAAATTAAAAATTGGCGAAAATTTTATTTTTCCAAAATTACACGGAAAGTTTTATGGATTTATAGCAAATTTTGTTATCTGTTCAAAACAGTATGAATTTTTGGTGTAGGACCATTTTTGGCCAAGTTACAGCAAAAAAACCAAAAGAAAAATTCCAATTTTTGTCAAAAACTGAAATCGCGAATTTCCAAAAAAAAACCAAACCCGTTTTTTCGCTAAAACGTTGCAGTTTTTTCGCTATAACAAAGCAAATACTGATTCAAAGTATGGATTGTCATACCTTTCTGAACTCGTTATTAAATTTCCTAACGATTGGCATTTAAACCTTGACAATTTATTCATTTTTAATTTTTCGCAAAAAATCATGGGGTACCCCCTTATAAAAAAATTAAAAATTGGCGAAAATTTTATTTTTCCAAAATTACACGGAAAGTTTTATGGATTTATAGCAAATTTTGTTATCTGTTCAAAACAGTATGAATTTTTGGTGTAGGACCATTTTTGGCCAAGTTACAGCAAAAAAAACCAAAAGAAAAAATTCAAATTTTTGTCAAAAACTGAAATCGCAAATTTCCAAAAAAAAACCAAACCCGTTTTTTCGCTATAACAAAGCAAATACTGATTCAAAGTATGGATTGTCATACCTTTCTGAACTCGTTATTAAATTTCCTAACGATTGGCATTTAAACCTTGACAATTTATTCATTTTTAATTTTTCGCAAAAAATCATGGGGTACCCCCTTATAAAAAAATTAAAAATTGGCGAAAATTTTATTTTTCCAAAATTACACGGAAAGTTTTATGGATTTATAGCAAATTTTGTTATCTGTTCAAAACAGTATGAATTTTTGGTGTAGGACCATTTTTGGCCAAGTTACAGCAAAAAAAACCAAAAGAAAAAATTCAAATTTTTGTCAAAAACTGAAATCGCAAATTTCCAAAAAAAAACCAAACCCGTTTTTTCGCTATAACAAAGCAAATACTGATTCAAAGTATGGATTGTCATACCTTTCTGAACTCGTTATTAAATTTCCTAACGATTGGCATTTAAACCTTGACAATTTATTCATTTTTAATTTTTCGCAAAAAATCATGGGGTACCCCCTTATAAAAAAATTAAAAATTGGCGAAAATTTTATTTTTTCAAAATTACACGGAAAGTTTTATGGACTTATAGCAAATTTTGTTATCTGTTCAAAACAGTATGAATTTTTGGTGTAGGACCATTTTTGGCCAAGTTACAGCAAAAAAACCAAAAGAAAAAATTCCAATTTTTGTCAAAAACTGAAATCGCAAATTTCCA